GAACATTTTGCATGTGTCCCTGAAATTGCTGTCCACCCTGTCATTATGGGGTAACTGCCCCTTTAAGAAACCCACTGATGTTTTCAGTGACATCACTACGAGCATTTTGTCTTTCTGCAATGAAGGCTGAAGCAGTGTCTAGTTGCAGAGTAAGTATTTACACTTATGTTTCATAATTTTCATCATATTATGTGTGTAGTTGGATGTTGTCAAGCTTAACATGTCCACTCTGTCATAGTGAAATATCAATTGATAGAAAAACCTATCAGAACTTTGAAATATATTTGTAAAACAGTACACAGTCAGCTTGCTAACTGTAGTATGTTGCTAAGTGAAGGTCCACCATGTGCTCATTAAATGCTAACATTAGCCAAAAATGTCCAGCCTGTCATTGTCCACCCTGTCAGCAAGCCTTCCATGACAGGGTGGACATGGTTCATGACAGGAAGGACATGTGCATAGTTTAGGCCACATACTGATAATGTTACATATATTACAACAGCTATTACACACATTTTATAACAGTACATGCTATACATAGTAAGAATGGACAATATGGACAATTTTTTTGGCGATATCGATATCAGCAAACCTAGTTTGATAATGCAAGCCTAGTTTACCGGGACTGCCAATTAAAGTGTGTAAGGGAACATTCTGAATCGTCTTTTTCAAGGTTAGATCATTGGAAGTTTAGCTGATGAGACTTATTAGAAAGTTTAGATTTATTTGAAGGACAATTATCAACTGTTTATGTCCCCATAAAATGACATATTGATAACTAACTTGCTAAAAAAAATCCTTACAAATATTTTGTGTTTCAGGCAACGGCGTCAAGGGGAAAGCATGTATAACAAGCTGAAAAGCCTGGACACATCTGTCGAGCTGTTCTTCATCCCAGAGAGGGATATTGAATCAAAGCCTGAGGTACCTGCAATAGCTGCCATAAAAGGCACTATGAGAATCCACCAAGCTATCAGTCTGACACCCGGCCAAATGAAATACAGAGACATTTCATTTCTGTGTAAAAGGGAGGAAGGTGTTTTGGACTGCCCCTGCTTTAACCTTCAAGAGGTCACTCTAGCTAATGTTCCTGTTTCATCTGACAAGTCCCCAGCATGTGGAAAGACACCAGAGAATCCTAGGAGACCAGAAATGATTGAGGTAAAGCACATTGGAGAGTGGTGCGTCGTTAATTATGACAATGAAGCATACCCAGGTATCATCATGGAAGCAGAAGGGCACAGTGTGAAAGTTAAGTGTATGCAACGCCATGGCATAAACAAGTTCAAATGGCCAAGTCTTCGGGACGACATCTGTTGGTACCATGACTGGCAGGTACTTTGCCTAATACCAGAACCACAGGCTCTGAACAAGCGCTCTGTACAGATTGAAGTGTCTGCATGGAAGTATGTGGAACAGCAACTGCAGAACTGAGCCATGTCTCTGCAGAAAGGGAGAGACTGTTTGGAGATGCGTCCAAGTGATCTTTCTGTAATATTCTGTTTTTTCAAATCAACTGTTCTTCACTTAAAAAACATTTTTCTTCTTGTTCTACAGTTGAATGTTTGACTTTCACTTGCAGAATGATGTACAGAGTTTAACGCTAGAAGGCCACATTAATGTCTCATTTTGGGCATCTTTATTCAGTGGCTGCATGCAGGTAGAGTGGATCAAAAACAGTCTGTTCAACTTGTAATTTCCCCCTACATGGGAAAAGGCATTTTTTACATCATTTTCTTGCATTGTTCCTTGCATTTATGAGGCCATTCAATGACATTTCACAACGTGTCCACCCTGTCATGCCCAGGGTCCACCCTGTCATGTCACTGTCCACCCTGTTATTTTCATGTTCTATGAAAATAAACAAATTATTTTCACAAGTTAGCAAAATCTTTTGTGTGATTCCTTTATAAACAAATGAGGGCCAAATAGTATTGTTTGAAAGTTTGACCAGATATCTTTTTTGTTAGATTTTATTTAGAAAAGAAAGTGCAACTCTCGCAGATTTTATAGAGAAACAAATAGTTTGCCATAATTTCATTATTATCCAAATACTTTTCCCATAAACTAAAATATATTGTTGAGAAAGTGACTAAATAGTTTTCTGAAAATGTACGTTTTATAATCACTATGTAATTACAATGTATTTATTCTGCTTTGAAATTGTCCATGACAGGGTGGACATATTTTGCTGTTTGCATGTAAATTGTCTGCTTGCAGTTAATTTATAAAAAGTGTGGGAGCTTGACCAATATGCATTTCTAACAGCATAACATATACTTAATACAATGAATATGAAGTTCAATGGAAAATCTCAGCTTTTTTGGGGGGAAATGGGGAAGTCTCAAAGGCACCTTATGGTGATATTGACCCAGTTGTCTAATGTTGGTGGGGCATATTATTCTGTTTCAATGTTACTCCTGAATCACTATGATAAATATAATAGTTTTTCTTCAGTGTGTTATACAAAGCTATGATTTACTTTGAAGTCCAAAGTGTAGGAATACAGGTGAAATCAGTGATTGACACAGACATGGTGGCGTAGCAGGAAGATCGGAATGCTGTGAACAAAGAGGTTGTGAGTTCAAATCCCAGGTGAGGACATCTTGCATAATAATGACTGTATAATCATGCATCATGTAAGTTGAAAACACTGTGGCTATTTTGTTATGTTCCGGAGACATCCTAACGACTAAGTTTTGTTTGCAGGGCATCATGTGAAAATGTTAATCCACATGTGAAAGGTAATGTGAAATATCATCACATTTAAAGTGTTTCAAAACCACATGGTTTCACATGATTTCACATGTGAAATTTCACATCTGAAATAAAATTCTATATGGGCAAAACCTGTGATTTTTCACGTGAAATCATGCAGTCCTTCTGTTAACACACCAGCTCTGGTGTACAACAGAGGCACATACAGAAACCAGTAGAGACATATATACAGCGAAAACATCAATGACCACACATCAAGCGTGCAATTTTTTATTATATGAATAAACACAACTGACGTGTGTATCTGGAGCACTTAGAGGAGTGACGTTTGGTTGTGGTGGGTTTCTGTGGGTCACTGTGACCTGTGAAAATGCTGAGGAGGTCCAGGAAGAAGGTGACCTTCATAGCGAAGCCAGCTGCTTGTGAGTAAAATTACTTCCCTAACAGAACTCATTCACAACTTTGCCAAAGCACATACATTTCTTGCTAGAGCACCTGAAATTCCTTCAAAGAGGACATCTGAATTATTTCACCTTTGCAGTGACTCACAGTGTGAGAGGTATCCAGCACCATGCTCAGCCATCTTCCTCTCCAGCCCTAGCTTCTTTGGATCGGACACAACCCCCTGCACCCTCCCCCACAAAGCCAGAATCAAACTTCAAGAACAAGGATGACTATGGCCAGGAGTTTTTCCTGACCACATGACCTGTTAGGGCCTAGAGATTTTCTGGTCAGGTTACAACAGTGTTCAATTATTTGTTTAGGGGAGGAGGAGAAACAAGGGAAAGGACCGGATAAACGAGAGAAGGAACCTCTGCTTCAGAGGGATTACTCTACACATGTGAAGGGGGAGAGCAAAGGCCTACTACTTAGGAAGATACTTTACCTCCAGGACCAATATGACAAAAGGTTAGCAGTGTATGAGCAACAAAACAAAATATTAAATGACAAAAAATATTGTTGGCCTTGTGTCTTCCTCTCCTTGCCTCCTCTCCTTCATCTGATCATAAAACATGTGAAAGCAATACGGTAGATGGATACCCAGGTGTCCATGTCTTTCACATCAATCTAGAAGGAGAGGAGAGGAAGCCACTACTTAGACTATCCTTGACCTCCTTGTTATTCCATCCTTTCTTCCAGGGAGGGAGATGTGAAGGCTGTGCTTAAGTCTGTGAGACTGGAGAAGCAGGAAGCAGAGAGAGAGAGAGGAGAGACCAGGGCCGGCTCTAGCCTTTTGGAGGCCCTAAGCGAGATTTGGTTGGGGGGCCCCGCACCAAGCGTGCAATTTTTTTAAAGCGATTTTTTGTACAAATAAAAAAAGCAGCCATGTATGCACATGGGAAATGCTCTGATCGTATTATTCAGTTCTATTCACTGAATTTCCATTTGGCTCCAAGAGTAGTCACTTCCGGGTGAATATTGAGATTCATTACATCACAGTCCAATCCTTCTTTATCTCATTCTAGATCCTCAAGAGAAAATACAAGTATGGACTCGGACAGACAGACATAAATACATCTATTAGGGAGGGGACAAACACATTTGACTCCCAAGCTCTCTCTCCCAAGCTCTCTGCCAGCCTACAGCCTACAGGTTGATCTAGCCAGACAAGATTTTTGGTCCCAGGCTACAAAATGAGAGGTGCAAAGTTAATGGCTGCACGAGTAGCAATATAAAACAAAATTACACAATGGCGTCCCCTAAAGGAATGAACAACCACTTGCCTTCCTTATGAAGACCAATAATGACAGTGAACATTTTACAACTGTAATAGGTAATAAATCATGAACTATCATGTGCAATAAAATAACCATAGCAATCACTGTATCCAGATCATCCCCTTTCCATTTCCCTTGATTTATTATATCTACATCAATCATTATCTGTGTGACTGTGTGTGTGTGTTATGTTTAGTTGTACTTCAGGCAGCCATTCAAATTCCATGTCATTTTACTTACAAAAGATTAGGCCTATATTATAGCCAAAAAATTGGCAATTTTGACCATCCATGGAAATGAATTGTGAATAATCAGCAAAATGGCATAACGTCTATATTTGGCACTAGAAGTATATCTCCTCCCTTCTATGCAAAAAGGAAAAGTAAAGATATTGTTTATAATCTTCCAGAATTATGTAATTCCCTACGACAATTTCAGCCTGTTTGAACGGTCCCAGCCGTCAAATAAACGTCCTCCCCTTTTACCAAATGATCGTGACAAAGCCTAAGTGAAAGCAACGGAGATCATTAGATATTTTTTGCGATAACAACTATTATTGAAGTAATGTCTGCCATGTCTATCTCAGCTAATTTACAAGAACCCGAACATTCCGGACTGTTGAAGTTTTTATCTGCTGCGTTCTACGCTATCAGTTCTTTTTTGATCATTGTTGTGAACAAAACGATTCTCACAAACTACAGGTAAGGTCCTTTCGTCACTGCAATTACTGTGCACAACAAATAACATGCTAAATGAACATGACAATTTGAGGCTCAAACAGGCAGCCAGTTATAATGGGTTACCTTCAGTATTGTATTGTTTATAGGCTACATCTTGACATCTTGATTATCCAATAACATTTCTTTCCTCTCTCTTAGATTTCCCTCCTACATGTTTCTAGGAATTGGCCAGGTAGCCTATACTGTATCTCAATTAAGGATTCTTGAGGTAGAAGTTGCACCACAGATCTAGGATCAGATTACCTTCCCCTATCATAACCAATCCAAATTGTTGATGAAATAACATCTGACCATTATCAGTAGCATAACATAATCTACATCGAGTGTGGAATTGCCATCTTTTCATGAATATTGATCCCCCCTATCCCCTTTTTACAGATGACCACTACAATCCTCATTCTATATGTTGCTAAAATGAACCAAACAGTTCACTTCCAAGACTTTGACAGAAGCATTCTCGTCAAAGTAAGTGATTTCCCCCTTGTTTTATTCTTGTTTTAATCTTCTGTCTGTCTGTCACAGAAGCATACAACAAAAGGTGAACCACAATAAGCCACAAAAGGATACAATGTAAAAAAAAATAATGTTTTGCCATTTGCCAACATGTCAATATAATAATCTTGATTTCATTAATTGAATACATTCTTGACATACAGATTTTCCCCCTACCGCTGCTGTATGTTGGAAACCACATAACAGGACTGGCTAGTACAAAGAAGTTAAGGTACAATGGAGTCTAAATGCATGAGTGAAACTTAATGCATTAGTTTCAGAAATCGTCTCAATTACAGTGTGTACAATTTAAACAACACCCCCTACTCATAGGGACTTAGGCCTGGGCACCAAGCACTTTGTGACAAATGCATTTATAAAAAAGCAGATCAAATATTAATGATTGATTGACTTGATCCATTGATCCTTCTACAGCTTACCCATGTTCACAGTACTAAGGAAGTTCACCATATTGATGACAATGATCATGGAAGCAAGGCTATTGAGGTTTGTGGCCATTTTTCCACATGTATACTTTACTGTCATAACTGCTCATCTTTTACAGTTCAGCCTTATAGTACTAACATGTGAATTTACATTTCCTCTCCAGAAAAACGTTCCCTAATCGTCTGATCTACAGTGTTCTGGCTATCGTTTTTGGAGCTTTAGTGGCTGCCAGGTAGTTCCAATAGGTTGCCAACCCTGATATGCTGCTAATAAACGTTCACACTGTTAACATATTCCTGTCTAGCGAGCTACCCTCCTTTAGATATTACCTCTGAAAACATCTATAGAACTTCAAAGGAAGTCACTGATTATCTTCATTACCGTTACGAATAAAATGTACCCCTTATTTTCTCCCATAGCTCTGACTTGGCCTTTGATGCAGAGGGCTACATGTTCATTCTGCTTAATGATGTCTTCACTGCTGCCAGTGGTGTGTACACCAAGAAGAAGCTGGCAACTGAGGTAGGACACATTGTAGCCACACTATATGTCCTCCATCTGTTTTCCCTATTAACATGTAGACCAGGGCAATTAAGAAGGGATAAAGCATTGATTGGAGCACGTAAACATACCTTGTTTACCCGTCATCAAATTAAAAATCCCAGAATGGTTCTGGGTACTGTGAAAATACCAAGCACTTGGACTAGATTCTCCTTACAGGTAGATACTTCCAGTTTTCAGATTAAGTGATTCTTAAACAGGCACAGGAGACTGCATACATATTTCTACGGCAGGTTGAATGAATCTAGTCCTTAGTATTGCAACAATCGATAACTATTTATATAGTACATTTACATCCTGCATGTTTACATTCCAGCCAAGTGAGGAAAGGTGAAGTGAGGTGTTGCTAAAAGAGTGACCTGTGCTCTATTGCTTACAATGTATAGGGTCTCAATTTCCAGGCTAAGTGATGTTGTTTCATTTAGTTGGACGCCCACCCTTAAAGTAAACAGTGCAATATGCGTAACCTGCTTGTACTGTGGATCACTGTACCTTTAAGCTCCAGCAACACTCTCCTCTTATGGTTGAACATTTGAGGAGTTGAATAGCGAAGTGTTTTGTGTAATTCTGATTCACATGAAATCTAATTTTCTATTTCTTTAAGGGTCTTGGAAAATATGGGATCTTATTTTACAATGCATTCATCATTGTCATCCCAACTCTTCTGGCGAGTGCATTCACTGGGGATTTACACAAGGTAAATGGATTTCCTGTTTTCTCAGGATAGGCATCACTTTTAGGCACAGATCTAGGATCAGTTAATTCCTGTCTGTCTGTCTCTCTGTCAGTCTGACCCAATGTTTGTGTGTTTGTTTTACGTTGACAGGCCATCACATATGAACACTGGTTGAAAACCCCCTTTGTTTCTTGCTTCCTTATGTCCTGCATCATGGGGTAAGTCAGTGTACAAGTTACTAAAAGAGAAACTGGCAACATATCCCTTTTTATATGGCTGTTAAAGGGGGATTATTCCACTTCTGTAATAGCCATTAGCCATGACGTTGTCCCATTGGGCTCCATTGTTGCCAACACAACTTCCCCTAACAATTCTTAGAACATATTTTTTTAAAAGTCATACAAAAGGCCCCTACTACCATCCATTGTAGAGCAATATTTCATAAACATATTAGAAGGACAAATAACCGCCAAAAAAGAGGTGTCTCAGTTATATAAAAGGTTACAGATGACCACATCTGAACACGCGGGATGTTAAAGGAAAATGTGAACTAGAAATGAATGTGGTGGTGGAAGATGAGTCATGGGGGAGAATATGTGAAAGTAGTCACAAATGCACCACGCCCAGCGTGGAGGGAGTTTGACTGGAAAGTGAAGATGAGATACTTTAAAACACCTTTGTTGATATTGAAATGTAGATTTTTTTTTTAAAGCTTCAGCTCTATATTGGAGGGGCTGTGGACAAATATGAGACCGCACACACATCTTCTGGTACTGTCCAAAGTTACAAGGGTTCTGGAAGACCATAAAAAAAGAAAGAAGTGAAGAAAATCCTAGACATTGAGTTACACTGGAACCAATGTTCATTTTATTGGGGGTAATACCTTGTAACCTGGAAGATAAAAACCAAATGTACATATTAAGGGCACTGTTAGTGATTGCACAGAAAATGATTATGTTCAATTTTCTCAAACCACAGCCGCCAACTGTAAATCAATGGACTAACTGAAACATTTGTAAATTATGGAGAATATGACAGCCAGGTTGCAACTAAAGATGGATACTTTTTTGTCGAAATGGACTCCCATCAGATTGTACCTTGCCCGATAACTGTATGGACAAAAAGAGGGACATATGTGGGGGTTTGTAGAATAATTCCCTTCATTTAATGACACTGAAGTAAACTCCTGTAATTATTAGTATTATTACTTATTTTGGTCCTTTTACGGATGTTTTTTAAAAGAAATTACTTAATTTTTAGAATTTGTATTCTTCTCTTTCCTTTCTCTTCCAAAAATTATGACATCAAGGATCGTTCACATGGTATTCTATAATGTATATTTGAACTTGAAAAATAAAGACATGTTAAAAAAACAAAAGGCCCCTACTAGAGGGTGGTGGTCTTATTAATAATAAAAAATAATAATAAATAATAATAATAATAATAATAATAGAAAACGTATGAAATGTAAGTATAGCATGATAAAAAGTTATGCCTCTGTTTAAGGTTTGTGCTGATGTATTCCATAGTGCTGTGTAGCCACTACAACTCTGCACTCACTACCACAGTGGTGGGAGCAATTAAGGTAAGAAGAACACATGTGGACCAGTAACATGTGGGTCAATATGTTTGTTCCTAACATTTCGGGGCTGTGTTGACACAGCTGGGTCGGGTTCAATGAGCACAAAAGGGGATTTTTTTTTCTTTTCAAATGCACAATCCTCTTCTGATAATTTCCTTCTCATGAGTCCACATACCCATGAATATCATGCCAAGGCAACTAGTATATCAAGATCATTGTTTTCCGCAGAACGTTGCTGTGGCCTACATCGGCATGTTTTTAGGTGGAGACTACCTGTTTTCATGGACAAACTTCCTGGGGTTAAATATTTGGTAAGAACGGATGCGTTTCCAAGTCGTGACACATTAGCACAAGAACACTGTTGCTATGCCATTCTGTTGAAGTTATTGCCGATGTCCAACTCTATAGTGCTCTCTTCTCGTCAGTATATCAGGGGGACTTGTGTATTCCTACCTGACGTTCCACAGCAGCAGCAAACCATCCCAAAGCGATGAAAGTGGAATACAGGGAAATCAGCTGATGATTCCCATGATGGAAGATTCCACAGACAGACTCCCTGTGAAATAAGTGAATAAACCTGTGATGAACTAGGTGAGACGTGATGCCTTAGTCTCTTTTTCTGTACTGTGAGCAGTTAGCACTGCCTTTTGTAATGGCTCCATATTGCAGCAAAAGTTATTACATGTTGTGTACTTAATTGATCTTTATGCTAAATTATAATCATATTTTTGACAAATGTTTATTATTTTGTGTTCCAAGTTGAAACCTGCAGTTCAATTGTCTTGTCAAGGGTTTTGCTATACTATACGTTATTACACATGTAAATAGCAATACTATACGTTATTACACATGTAAATAGCAATACTATACGTTATTACACATGTAAATAGCAATACTATACGTTATTACACATGTAAATAGCTATACTATACGTTATTACACATGTAAATAGCAATACTATACGTTATTACACATGTAAATAGCAATACTATACGTTATTACACATGTAAATAGCAATACTATACGTTATTACACATGTAAATAGCAATACTATACGTTATTACACATGTAAATAGCAATACTATACGTTATTACACATGTAAATAGCAATACTATACGTTATTACACATGTAAATAGCAATACTATACGTTATTACACATGTAAATAGCAATAATATACGTTATTACACATGTAAATAGCAATACTATACGTTATTACACATGTAAATAGCAATACTATACGTTATTACACATGTAAATAGCAATACTATACGTTATTACACATGTAAATAGCAATACTATACATGTTATTACAGATGTAAATAGCAATACTATATGCATTATTACACATGTAAATAGCAATGGCCACTAGTGGTTACTAACCACCTCTTGAAACCAATGTGTGTGACTGAAAGACATACGGTAGTGTAGTGTACAGAGCTGTATGTTCAATGACAACTAAACTACAGTTTAGTGATGCAGCTCTTACCAATCAATTAACCCAACTATAAACTTGAAGGAATGAAACTGGCTCCTAGATCATGGTCAATGATGGTGTTTATTGAAGACCAACAAGTACCAACAGTGTGGACTGCCTGTAAAGAGAAACTATGCTTTAAAAACAAACGACGTCATCTCTACAGAGCAAGTCAGAACATTTCCTATCAAGGCCTAAAACACACAATGCTGACTATGGTCTGTTAACACAGTGGGAGAAGAAGTGAATTTCACAATCATCTAAACATGTGTGCAGTAGATTTTTTGTCTCTTTTTCTAACAAACAAGTTGGGGAATATATTAACTGCCGAAACATTTTGAAACCAAATAATAAACAAAGTTAGAAAAACAAGATAAATACATTATCATTTGGTGTTTTGATTATCAAAAAATAACTGACGTCCAGTTTAACCTGTAGTCTATCAAAAGATTTATAGGACATGTTATCCCACTGGACAATGTGGTCCATTCAACGTCTAGTTTTGATTTACATTTGATTGAATTGTAAAGTAAAGTGAATTCAATGTGAAAACTTTTTTTTACCATGTCATTGGTTAAAAGTTGGGTGACAAAAATGCAAACCAAAATTCCTTTATGTTGATGACTTTTTGTAAATCCAATCAGTTTTCCACATTGATTTAACGTCATAACATTACATTTTTTTGTTGAAATGCTGTGGAAACCAGTTTGTGCCCAGTGGGATACAACATATTTAATCACATATGGACAATAAAGGATCTGGGTGTTGCGAGAAGCACAAACCTAATCAAACAACCAAAACATATATTTAAAAACAATTGACCATTTATCATAAAAGCTTTACACAATGTTAAAAGATGTAGTGTTGCTAACAACTAATAAAACCTTGCCAATGCCAAGCAATCGTTACATCCTCTAGACCGGTCTGATAAGTGGAAACGTTACATTGCAAACTTAATCCATGAAGGCAAAACTTAATAGCAGATAGATACAAGTTCTGCTGCAAAGGGGCGTGACATTCTAATTGCTATTAGTTGACATGGATAGATACTAAATCATTGAGGGAGGCCATGATCAATAATTCTTCAGTGGAATTATTCAGTATATCCGTACTCGGCGAAAGCTTGTGATAGCAAATAGTTGTTATCAATAAGGTCAAATAAACATGATTAAATAAATACCTATGAAACGTACAGAGCAGACTTGTATGTACACCACCAATGGCGCTACCCCGTCCGTATCTCCAATCAGCTAGCATCTTTTAATATAAAAGATGGCAAACCTTCTGAATTTACATATCCTGGCTCTGCATGTCTTCCTCTTCCTTCTGTCTGGCGATGTGATTTGGTTAGAGCAGGGACGGTCAACGCCAGGCCTGCACAGCCATAGCGTGGACATGCTTTTGTTCCAGCCCAGCTCTAACACACCTGGATCAACTAATTGTGGTCTAAATGACCATGACAAGATGACCATTTGGATCAGGTTTGTTAAGAGCTGAGATGGAACTAAGTCTGCTCACTCTGCGGCTCTCCAGGACCAGAGTTGTCCCTCCCCTGGGTTAGAGCTACAGGTCTGGGTAGGATTCGTTTGATAGGTGAAGATGTCAGAGCTTGGATTCCTGTGAAAGATTGTGTCTAGCTACTACTCTAGATTAGATTTGCAATGACCACCTCTTCTTCTAACAATGGGTTGCATCTCAATAGTCTCTACAGTGACTTCCTCCCCTCATCTGCACTGATCTGAAAGAATTGGACAGGTGGAAGCAAAATCCCGATAGGCTTCCACCACATTGCTTTTTCACCAATCCTGTCAGTCCAGATCAGAGAATGAGGAAGGAATCCACTTTCCAGTATTTACATACACCTACACTACCGGTGAAACGTTTTAGAACACCTACTCATTCAAGGGTTTTTTTTTTTTAAACTATTTTCTACATTGTAGAATAATAGTGAAGACATCAAATCTATGAAATAACACATGGAAACATGCAGTAACCAAAAAAGTGTTAAACAAATCAAAATATATTTTATATTTGAGATTCTTCAAATAGCCACCCTTTGCCTTGATGACAGCTTTGCACACTCTTGGTATTCTTTCAACCAGCTTAATGAGATAGTCACCTGGAATGAATTTCAATTAACAGGCTTGCCTTCTTAAAAGTTAATTTGTGGAATTTCTTTCCTTCTTAATGCGTTTGAGCCAATCAGTTGTGTTGTGACAAGGTAGGGGGGGGGTATACAGAAGATAGCCCTATTTGGTAAAAGACCAAGTCCATATTATGGCAAGAACAGCTCAAATAAGCAAAGAGAAACGACAGTCCATCATTACTTTAAGACATGAAGGTCAGTCAATACGGAAAATGTCAAGAACTTTGAAAGTTTCTTCAAGTGTAGTCGCAAAAAGCATCAAGCGCTATGATGAAACTGGCTCTCATGAGGACCGCCACAGGAATGGAAGACCCAGAGTTACCTCTGCTGCAGAGGATAACTTCAGTAGAGTTACCAGCCTCAGAAATTGCAGCCCAAATAAATGCTTCACAGAGTTCAAGTAACAGACACATCTCAACATCAACTGTTCAGAGGAGACTGCGTGAATCAGGCCTTCATGGTCGAATTGCTGCAAAGAAACCACTACTAAAGCACACCAATAAGAAGAAGAGACTTGCTTAGGCCAAGAAACACGAGCAATGGACATTAGACTGGTGGAAATGCGTCCTTTGGTCTGGAGTCTACCGTGTCTTTGTGGTGTGGGTGAACGGATTATCTCTGCATGTGTATTTCCCACTGTAAAGCATGGAGGAGGAGGTGTTACGGTGTGGGGGTGCTTTGCTGGTGACACTGTCTGTGATCTATTTAGAATTCAAGGCACACTTAACCAGCATGGCTACCACAGCATTCTGCAGCGATACGCCATCCCATCTGGTTTGGGCTTAGTGGGACTATCATTTGTTTTTCAACAGGACAATGACCGAACACACCTCCAGGCTGTGTAAGGGCTATTTTACCAAGAAGGAGAGTGATGGAGTGCTGCATCAGATGACCTGACCAATTGAGATGGTTTGGGATGAGTCGGACCGCAGAGTGAAGGAAAAGAAGCCAACAAGTGCTCAGCATATGTGAGAACTCCTTCAAGACTGTTGGAAAAGCATTCCAGGTGAAGTTGGTTGAGAGAATGCCAAGACTGTACAAAGCCGTCATGCAAACGGTGGCAATGTGAAGAATCTTAAATATAAAATATATTTTATAAAACACTTTTTTGGTTACTACATGATTCCATATGTGTTATTTCATAGTTTTGATGTCTTCACTATTATTCTACAATGTAGAAAATAGTAAAAATAAAGAAAAACCCTTGAATGAGTAGGTGTTCTAAAACTTTTGACCGGTAGTGTAAGTTATCCTACGTCTGAACACACCCTGTACCACTCCTTCATCTGAGCTAAATCCACATATTCATCCATTATATGAACACGCACACAAACACAAGCACACAATATACTTAAGTTCCAAAGTAAAAGACAACAAATAACTCGTTACCACCAAAGTGCAAACAAAACAAAACACATTAAAAGTTACTCTCCAAAGGAGAGTAAAACATTCTACAATCATAGCAGCCCAATTAGGTAACATTGGAAGCTGGATAAGGTGCTTTAAGCTTGTGCCTGCTCCACACTACACGTGGAGAAGGAGTTACCTCCAAATACTAATCTAAGGTCAGCTTAGCGTTTTCCCCCCATTAATGGTTAAGTATTTTGGGAGGGTAAGCTTATCGTAAATGTTTTTCCCTACAGGCAAACTTCTATCCAAAGCATACTGCGTAGGGAAGCAGAAGAGGATTGACTGGGGAGGGTTTCAGGACTGGGATGTGGGCGGGGATTTAGGCAGACAGGTTATTAGCCAGCTCAATGAGCGCCAGGGCACCATGAAGACGCTCCCGTTGCTCTTGGAGACGCCGTCTGGTAGCGCCACCCCCGTTGCCCTTCTCTTCCTCCATTGGCTCCTCCTCTCCCTCCTCGTCTGATTGGAGAAACTCCCGGGGGTCCTGCTGCTCCTGGTCCTCCACCCCGCCCTTGCCCTGGGGTTTCCCCTTGGTGGGCACAGGGGCACGCTGCTCACGCGTCTGCCAGTACCTGCCACAACACAGAGACAAGGGGGGATTTGGTGAGTATTGGGGTGTGCAGAATAGGGTGAGATCGCTTGATTGGTTTACTTCTTTTTACTATCCGTCTGATCTGCCTGTCCTCCCTCCCTCCCTACAGAACCACTCACTTTGCCAGCCACTCTGCCACAGCCTTATTGTCCACAGACTGGGCCTTGCCTGGTCCCTCTTTGGGGTCCTCTCTTTTCAAACGGGCATATGGGTGCTTTGGGCAGTGCCTGTTAGCGTGGGTAAAGCGACTGCCACAGGCTGAGGAGATAACAGTAACATCCGAGTTAGTGCCAATGCTTTTCCATTTGGTAGATTCTGCACCCCATCTATATGAAAGGTCTCAAGGTACCACCTATGTAAAGGGACAAAAGTGATGATCTAGTTGTGTGCTCACCTTTCTCAGAGCAGACAAAGGGCTTCTCTCCAGTGTGTAGGCGCTGGTGGGTCTTTAGCTGGCCACTCTGGACAAAAGCCTTGCCACAGTCAGGGTAGTCACACGGGTATGGCCTCTCCCCTGAGAGAGAACACAGAGAGGGGGTTGAAATCAAACCAGATTGTATTAGTCACAAGCTTCGTAAACAACAGATGTAGACTAACAGTGAAATGCTTACTTACGGGCCCTTCCCAACAATGCAGAGAAACGTTTAGAATTAATATAAAAGTATTAACACGAGGAATAAATACACAATGAGTAACGATAACTTGGCTATATACACGGGTACCAGTACCGAATCGATGTGCAGGGGTACGAGGTAGTTGATATGTACATATAGGTAGGGATAAAGTGACTAGGCAACAGGATAGATAATAGACAGTAGCAGCAGCATATGTGATGGGTCAAAACAGTTAGTGCAAAAAGGGTCAATGCATATAGTCCGGGTAGCTATTTGTTTAACTATTTAACTAACTACTTAGCAGTCTTATGGTTTGGGGATAGAAGCTGTTCAGGGTCCTGTTGGTTCCAGACTTGGTGCATCGGTACCGCTTGCCGTGCGGTAGCCAAAGGAACAGTCAATGACTTGGGGTGGCTGGAGTATTTGTGTTCACCCTAATGCAGGTTGTAACACAGGGAAGAGCATAGTGTCCTGGTAGGTTGGGTGTCCATGTGTCAGGGCCACCCGTGCTCTGCTCTCACCTGTGTGTGTTCTCTTATGGGCCTGTAGGGACTTCTCTCTGGGGAACACACGGTTACAGATGTTGCAGCGGATGCGGCTGGAGGAGCTCTCCCCCTCATTGATCAACTCACGGACAGTGTCAGCACGCGGGCGGCCACGCCGAGTACCGTCCTGAAAACAAAGAGGACACAAAGTTAACTACAGTTTCAATTAATACATGCATCTTTCTGTACTTTCTGAATACTTAATGTAGGCTTACAACATCGTACTTTCAGTTTGGAATGCAGCATTATTCCATAACAATGTTTGTTTTACTAAAACAGTAACTTGTTGTTATTTCATTTTATACTGATGCTTTATGAAAGGCTTCATACAAAGCAAAAGTTCCCTCAATGTCTAATTCCAAATTAAAATAATTCCTGCCATACAGTATATAAATCAACTTGATTATCATTGTCAAACAGGGATTTTTGTTTGTTTGGTACAAATGAATGTTGCCAGGGCCACATGCAGTTAGACATTGTAGCAAGGTGCATGTATTCATTCATTCCATGCACATCCGGTAAAAAAATTTGCCGCGCGAGGCGACATTACGTATGACAGCTGTTACAGTTGGAAGTGACTGGGTTTTAAAATCCATCACGTCACATCGTGAGCGCGGGCGTTTTTTTAAATACACCTTTCCTAGTTGCCGTTTCATTAAAAAAACGAAGGACAGCTATTTAGATTACATCTCTAGATTGCACCATTCAATGATTCAGTGTAGCCTAAAGTGAATTCGTATCTGGCCTTTTCGATGAACATAACATGATCATCACTATTGTAAAGTAGAAACAATGTAACCTATCATTCATTGCAAAATGATTTAATACAACAAACAACTGAAAGCTACATGCAAATGCTCATCAGTTATTACGGTGTACTAACAGACACATAATTAATGCAAGGTCTAAGTCGGCTATATGTATAGGCTACTTTCTAGGCAGTAAAACTATCATAGCCTAGTCTCCTAGATATGATTTCAACTTCAACACAACACAATGCTATTAGGGTAAACAACATGAACAACAACCTCCAACTTATCCTACCTTCATCTGGTCAGAGGAGACAGCCAGGTCCGCCTCGCTGGCGGTGTTGGTCCCCGTAGGGGAGGCAGCCCCGTTCACCGAGCCAGGGCTCAGGCTCACATTATGGGCGTTCTCCCCCCACCTCCACGGGTACACCATGAAGTCGCTGAATCCAGGGCTGGTCGGCATCAGAGACTCACTCTTCCTGGGCTTGATCGGGGTGGTCTTGATCACAGACACCAGGACCCTCTTTGGGGAGTCGTTGCAAAAAATTACTTGAGGGTGCTTGTTCTCCGCCATCGTTCAGATGAAAGACGAATTTGTTAAAAGCTGATTAAATCTAAAATTATATCACAATTGTGCTCAGGAATCACTTCGTCATCTAAAGATAGGCTAAACGCTTTTAATCAAGTAGTTTAACGTTAGCAAAATAGCCTTCTAACAGAAGTTGGGTTAGGCAGCTACGAGACTGAAAGTGTCCCACCAAATTCAGCTACTCAATCAGGAGTGAAAATATTATTCATTTCCAGAGACGAAGAAAACCGCGCCACAATTCCTTATTAAAAATTGTACAAATATTCATTAATTTGCAAAAATGGAGCGTCCGATGTTCACACGGTCAAAGTGGATACAGCTCCTACTTCTGAAAGTCTTTCCCGCGTTGCAAATCGCGCCTGGGCGGTTCTTTTGACAAATCAGTTGAAGGGAAATTAAATCCTTTTACCACATGCATGGGAAATAACCTATTACAAGGGTCAAAGCATGAGGTAAATCCGAACGAGAGCAACACAGTAACCAATGGTCATCATCGGATCTTTCGAAGTACGCTCATTGGTTGATACTTTTTATCCAATGAAAGTTTTAAACATTCTAGAGCGCGCCTTTACAGATTGACAGCAGATTGAACCTATGTGCATAACGCACTGAGATGCTTCAACCAATGGCAATGAAGGGCGGTTAATTTTACAGTGGACTGGGATTGGACCGCTGCCGATCAGAAGCCTCTCCCGCGCATAAGGCAGCCTATGTTTATATTATTACATTTTTGGAACGATTTAAAGGGAAAGGGTGAGTCAAAGGCGCCAAGGTTACATAGGCCTAATCAGGCCACCAGAGAGGAAACGAAACTGAAAAAAAGGTTGCAGTCAGTCATTTAACCAATGCCTAGTATGCTAGTCCTACACTACACAGTTATTATTATATTATTACACTGGGGATATTCAATTAAATTAACCTGTTGTTTATCAGAGGACTGTTTGTCCAATGTAAGACTGGCATTGTAACATTTAAAAAATATATAATGAAAGCAGCTTCATTACTTTACCCTGGGTGCATGTGTACATGGCTCTTATGTGATATTTGGGGACATGTAGGCCTACATGTGTAAAGGAAATAAAGTTCAACAGGCAGTGCGTGTGCTTGCATGTGTGCATGTGGCCTCCTTTCCCCCCTTCTGGTTGGTGTGCCTCCTCACATCGGATCCCATGCATATCATGTTTTTTTTGTGATGAAATAGGAGCAAAATGTAAGCATAAATTGTGAAAGGAGGTTGTATGGTAAATATTTTAATAGCAACTCTTTCTGAAACAGGTGAGATTGTGTCAGTGCTTTCTAATTTGCCTCTTTCCAGGGCCGGCTCTAGCGAGAGTGAGATTTGGCTGGGGAGCCCCCCGCCAAGGGGTCACCTTTTTTTAGTGGCACCCCTCTTGACAGCTAAGAGAAAAATGTAGGTTTAAAGTATATTTTCAGTGTAGAGAAAATGTTACTGCAGCACCCCAAATGTTTTTTTCTCTCACAAAAGTAGTCCACTGCACCAATAGTTCCTTTGTGTAAATATAACAATCATCTGTTCCACGTGCTGTTCTAATTTCCTCTTGAATATGACACTATAGTAGGTCTTCAGCAGTGCAAGTGTAGCCTCCATAGCATATGTAGGCTAGGCTAAGCATACTATGCCCCCCCCCCCACCAATTTTTTAAAATAAAATAATAATAATAATAATACATTTGGAACTCAGTCCAACTTTCAATTTACTCTTGAAAGTTGTAATAGTAGAATGCACAGGGTGCAATTGTTTTATTGGGTAGTGCATCATACATTTTCCTCTTGTCATGTAGTCATTGCATACCTTAAAGAGCTATTTATAACTTGTCAGAAATGTCCAGATCAACTAGCCCATGTCAGCTAACGTTTTTTAGCTAGGTTTATTAACCCATAGATTTTGTTGTTATGTTTGAGTCACTCAAATATCACATGAATACAATGGTTGGTTCTGGTTCTGTGCTTTTACTGGTTGGTTCTCCTCCGTTTCTTTCTCACTCAAACACCCACAGACACAGCCTGTCATGCTCACGACAAACCTTTAATTTCATAATTACCTTGGATTTGTATTTTTTTTAAAATCATATGGCCATCAGTAGGACATATATTAACTGTCTACCCCCACTGATGTTTTCCCCAGGCCAGCCTTATATGCAGACTCTTGACGGCCGAGTCCGATTGGGGACAGGAGGGGGCAGAGGGGGAAGAGGAGGAGGCTACAAAAACATGGATACTACCGGTAGCTTCAACCTGAGGTGCAAGAGATAATATGAACACCACAGTGGAACATGGGTGCTTGTTTAGCTTGCAAATGAGATGTGTTCACTTTGTGTACAAGTCATGTGTCCTGATTGTTTACCACATGGTAAATTGTCCTTTAGAGGAGAAGAGAGGAGGCTGTGGGCCCTGGAACTGGGGTTCTGTTCAAGACCATGGGGTGAGTTTAGTACCACATGGAGATAATTTACAATAGTAAATATAAGTTTTAGATGATTTATCATGGTTACGGTCTCCTCTGTTTTGATGTAGGGATGGACGTGACTCCTGATGCAGGAGGAATCCCACCTGAGGGCGGCCAACAGCCAGTGGAGATGGAAGAGTCAATACACACCACAAACACACACACGTTTGTTTTACTATCCTTGTTGGTACCAAAACATTTCATCCCATTCAAAATCTTATTTTCCCTAAACCTAACCTTAACCCCAAACCCTAACTCCTAACCCTAACCCTAAACCTAACTTCTAACCTTAATTCTAATCCTAATTGTAAGCCTAACCCTAAACCTAACCCATAAGCCTTAAATAGCCTTTTTCCTTGTGGGGACCGGCGAAATGTCTCCACTTTTCTTTGTTTTACTATCCTTGTGAGGACTTTTGGTCCCCACAGGGATAGCAAAACCAAACCACACACACACACATTATGTTCTTGTATCCTCATGGGGACCTACAATTAATTTATATTTAAAATCAAATTTTCCCTAAACCTAACCATAATCCTAACCTTAACCCTAACCACTAACCCCTTATCCTTACCCTAACCTTAATTCTAACCCTAACCCTAATTGTAACACTAACCCTAAACCTAACCCCTAAGCTTAAAATAGTCTTTGTCCTCATGGGGACGTGTGAAATGTCCCCACAAGGCGGAGTTTAACCTCCGTAAACTGGACATAATTTGGCAATTATTTGTGTTTCAATTGTGTTTCTATTGTTGCTCATATTTGGCATTTCTTCCATTAGAACACAAAGGCGGAGTCTGTGGAGGAAGAGGACAGCCACTTCTCCAGTCTGCGCAGGTCTGCCAATGATATCACTTCCCGTCTGGAGTTCAACTTTGGAAGCCTTCAGCGCCCCAGAAAGGGGGGAGGGACCGAGGCAGGGGGGTGAAAGGGGGGACGACTAGTCGCCCTGAGAGAGCAGAGAAGATAGGTATCCTCTCCTTTAGAAAAGATGCTGGAAACCAACTACATAAGGGAAGAGGCTTTTTATATTAGTTTTATACAGAGCAGAGCAGTTCTATTAAGTGAACACCGCTGGCAACGGTTTTTAAACATTTCCTGGTAAAAAACGGACAAATTATTTTTAGACAATAAGAGAACCATATACAATCTGACCATTTGTGAGGTGAAGAAACTTCTTTCCAGGAGCATGAAAAGTACTGTATATGTATTCTAATCCTATCCCCTAACACCACTCATCTTCATATGACCTGTTGTGCATCTCTCCAGGCTTATGTCCTAGTCCCAAACCCAGACCACCCTGAGGACTGCCCTGCCTTAGCTGTGGGGAGATTAATTATATTACCAAGACTACAAAGGATTTCCTTTTGTTTACATTTGGCTCCTGGTGAAATGGGTTGTCCTCTTATTTAAGTAAAGTTTTTTTGTTGTTGCTATTCTATCACATGTGGGTGTTATTTCTCCTCCTGCCTTGTGTTCCGATGGAAGCACTGTGACGGCAATGTTCAATAAGTCCTGTGACAATAAGTGTACTGTTGAAGATGGCTTACTTTGACACAATAGACCAACACTAACACCGGCCTTGCACAGTGGGTGCACAGCCTCAGAATATTGGCAGTAATTTTCTGATTCTACATGTTGAATTGCCACCGTTCGACGACACCCAGCAGGTGATCTACTGCACACCAATGATGTCTGTGTTAGTCTCTTGTCCTTTACACACTTAATCTACTTACAGTTAGGGGTGTTCTACATTATATGTCCCCCAGTGGTGAGTTCATAGATATTCAGCTGCAGACTCTCGATATTCAGATAATTCACCACAGCACACACTATGAACATGAATCATTTACTATCCTGTGGTAATCAATCACTATCACGATCCTGTTCTCAGTGGCTCTAATGTAGCACAAAGTGTACAAGATTAAAAGTACAGTGGCTTGCAAAATATTCACCCCCCTTGGCATTTTTCCTATTTTATTGCCTTACAACATGGAATTAAAATAGATTTTTTTGGGGGGGTTTGTATCATTTGATTTACACAACATGCCTACCACTTTGAAAATGCAAAATATTTTTTATTGTGAAACAAACAAGAAATAAGACAAAAAAACAGAACTTGAGCGTGCATAACTATTCACCCCTCTAAAGTCAATACTTTGTAGAGCCACCTTTTGGAAGCAATTACAGCTGCAAGTCTCTTGGGGTATGTCTCTATAAGCTTGGCACATCTAGCCACTGGGATTTTTGCCCATTCTTCAAGGCAAAACTGCTCCAGCTCCTTGAAGTTGGATGGGTTCCGCTGGTGTCCTGCTGGTTCCGTCGGTGTCCTGCTGGAAAGTGAACCTCCGTCCCAGTCTCAAATCTCTGGAAGACTGAAACCGGTTTCCCTTAAGAATTTCCCTGTATTTAGCGCCATCCATAATTCCTTCAATTATGACCAGTTTCCCAGTCCCTGCCGATGAAAAGCATCCCCACAGCATGATGCTGCCACCACCATGCTTCACTGTGGGGATGGTGTTCTCGGGGTGATGGGTTTGCGCCAGACATAGCGTTTTCCTTGATGGCCAAAAAGCTCCGTTTTAGTCTCATCTGACCAGAGTACCTTCTTCCATATGTTTGGGGAGTCTCTGACATGCCTTTTGGCGAACACCAAACGTGTTTGCTTATTTTTTTCTTTAAGCAATGGCTTTTTTCTGGCCACTCTTCCGTAAAGCCCAGCTCTGTGGAGTGTACGGCTTAAAGTGGTGCTATGGACAGATACTCCAATTTCCGCTGTGGAGCTTTGCAGCTCCTTCAGGGTTATCTTTGGTCTCTTTGTTGCCTCTCTGATTAATGCCCTCCTTGCCTGGTCCATGAGTTTTGGTGGGCGGCCCTCTCTTTTCTTTAACATAATTGATTTAATGGTGCTCTGTGGGATGTTCAAAGTTTCAGATATTTTTTTATAACCCAACCCTGATCTGTACTTCTCCACAACTTTGTCCCTGACCTGTTTGGAGAGCGCCTTGGTCTTCATGGTGCCGCTTGCTTGGTGGTGCCCCTTGCTTAGTGGTGTTGCAGACTCTGGGGCCTTTCAGAACAGGTGTATATATACACTGAGATCATGTGACACTTAGATTGCACAGAGGTGGACATTATTTAACTAATTATTTGACTTCTGAAGGTAATTGGTTGCACCAGATCTTATTTAGGGGCTTCATAGCAAAGGGGGTGAATACATTTGACGCACCACTTTTCCGTTATTTTTTATTTTTTGAAAGAAGTTATTTTTTTCATTTCACTTCACCAATTTGGACTATTTTGTGTATGTCCATTACATTAAATCCAAATAAAAATCCATTTAAATTCCAGGTTGTAATGCAACAAAATAGGAAAAATGCCAAGGGGGATGAATACTTTTGCAAGGCACTGAACAAAGCTTGAAAGTCATGAGTAGTGAATGGTGCTTGCGAGGGCTGTCCATGAACTGAAAATTCATTTGGTTCCTATGTAGCACATGAGCAGGATGTCGCCAAAAATGATCAAAGACAATGGTGAGTATAATTGGCGGTATTTTATTTTAAAAAGTGGGTATATTTAATGTGCTCCGAGCAGATATATAATGCATGATAATCATGAATGAGATGAGGCCCCTTTTGTATGTAAGACTGATTACAATTGATAGTATGGTTCATCATAACAAGTACAAAAATATTTACAAAGTACAAATTAATTTTTCAGTATATCAAATGTTGACTTATTTACAGTTTAATTACAGCAGCTCAACAAAAAAGACAACCGACTAGAAGCATCACTGGAGAATGAAAGAAAGCTGGGGCATATTAAGGGTGCTATTCAATCCGTATCGCTGAAGCGTTACAGATTGCGCGATAGAAATGTAAAGGTAATTTCTGATTGAAAGGACATATGCAGCGTTTACCGTGCTAACGCGGGAACATTGCCATTCAATTTCAATCATGCTGGAACGCTGAACTTCTGCGACACGAGTTGAATAGAGCCAAGTGAAACACAAGTGAAATTAGAATTTACAGCGTGGACAAACCATCTATTATTGAACAGAGGCGGGCATTGTATTACTTCTGTGCATTACATTTTTGTCTAACATTCTGAAAGATGCTCCCAAAACAGCATACCCCTTAAAGTAGACATTGTGCATGTTCAAGTGGGCCGATTTGAGCTGGGCTTTTCACAAATTATTTTATCTACAAAACACCTCAACTTCCAAACAACTGGACATGACCTGATCCATATCATCCAAAGGTTTTAAAAAGTGGACGGTGCCAAGCTCTGGAGTACCTTCACTAACAAGCAGATTGACATTAGTCTGACGGTTCAGGATCAGTCTGGATTCCTATGGCAACCTTCTACTAGTTTGTAAACAAGCAGGCAACGAATACGTACATCTGAAGTGGCACTCTATTCCCACTACTTATGGCCAGGACTAGTGTACAGAGAATATGGTGTAATTTTAAGAAGCATTCAACCTTTTAAAAGTTGGTTCCATGATATAAACAGTGAAATATATAACAAAAGTAGTGCCTTTGATAAAGAGAGTTGGCAAATTAATTCCAAACTAACCAAACATGGTTTACATCTTAATTGTATCTGATAACTCATTCTTCCCGTTCACAATCAGATGCATAATTTCCTCATCCAACATCATCACTTTAACAAATATTGACTTGACTGGTTCAAGCAAAATAAACCCAGTCTCTCTTAAGAAACAAAAAAAAATCTCAATTTGCAGGAGCTGTAGGTAGACTGGACTCCTTTAGAACTCCGGAAAGCCAGGCTCAGCGCAGTAGAGGAGCTCTAGCTTTTGGTATGGAGTGACTGAAGGGACAAAAAGCACACAATTACATCCAGGCGGAGAGAAATGGGACATGCAGATAATACACTACAAATTCTCAACAATACTACAATGTCTTCTATTCATTAAAAGACCCTAAAGAGGGGTTACAAAAACACAATATACAAGACTTTACTATGTATGCAGTCTGTCTATTTTAATCTTATAAAGGACTTAGAGATATGTGGGCAATTAAGAGTAGGGGTTGTCTAGAGACACAACAGCAGCATAGAACAGAGCAATGAGCCATACAAATGGGATAGAAAAGGGAAATAGATACCATAGTCTCGTTAAGCGCATTGATTGTAAAGAGCATCGAGTTTTCCGTCCTCTGGACACAGTGCGTCTGTTAGGAGTGAAATTAAAAAAGGAAAAAGGGGTGAAAGAAAAAGGAAAGTGTTATATGATTGATTCCCCAATGATTTATGTCAGCAGAATCACCAACAACCAACAGAAGGTTGTCGGGGTCTGAAAGCAAGGAGTCACAGTGTGAGCAGTAAAGTCCAGAGAAGCTATAGCCAGTCATACTCCTGAATCATCCATTCCAATAGGACACGCAAGAAGCCATAGGGAGTGTAAAGAGCTGGAGAGAGTGTTCAAGTGTTTGAGCCTGAGTGTTGAAGGGAGCTTGAAAGTGTTGGAAGCCTAGAGCACAAACAGATATAGAAGATGTTTGCTCATATGAAATGCAAAGTTAAGCAGACCCTTGGTGTGTGGGGGACCCCCAGAGTAGGCGAGATTGAGGTTGAGCCCAGAGAAAGGGGTTGAGGAGGGGCTTGCCTTCTGAGGGGCCTGCAGCATGTTTAGGTTGGGCAGGTTGCCTGTGCTGACTGGGCTGCCTGCGTTGACTGTGTCTCTATGGCAGCCACTGGGCTCACAGCACACTGGCTCTCTGTCACTGGCCACTACATGCATGCTGTCTAGAGACCTGGCTAGTCTGGAGTGGCACAGGGAGGTGGCAGAGGAGGGAAGGGGTTAATCGAGTCATCATAAACCATGTATGGCTATGGCTAATTCTGTCCAGTTTACTTCACACACTTGTGTCAACTCTTTTCTGTATGACTGCGTAAATATAACCTTCAAACATTTGACAGAATATTCAGCTAACAAATATGAGAAATAGAGCAAACTAGATCAGCATTTCCTCTGACAAATCCTAACTTGAGTTACTGTCACGAGAATTTTGTTATCTCAATGGTTGAACTCAACTATCACTCAAGCTTTGAATAATTCCCAGAGGGTGTAAGGCTCTGGTTTAATAATGAATTAAACAAAGTCCTGTTCTGCAATAGGTCAGTCTTTTTATTCATGAGAGATCTTCCGCTAAAAACATACACAGCCTTTTTATATGCGTTCACACAAAGGAACTTGCTCCGCCCACCTTTAAGCGGCCTGTGACTTTCCACAGTATAGAATGTTTAAGTTTGACAGTTTCTAGGTCTCCTTTCCCCTGGACTGTTTGTCTCAGCAGTTTCTACCCCTCTTCCCTGTTAGTGGGTTTATTGTTTTATAACTCTAACACAGTTTACACATTTATACAGTATTGGGGTGGAATCCTTAGTCATTACAATAAACATACAAATTAATCTATCAGTTACACACACCTTATACAGACTTTCACATTAATATTGCACTGCTGTCGATGAAAGTACTAGTTAGAATTCAATAGCACGGCTTATTGGAGACTTTGACACTAACCTGCCCCCCACACTATTGGCAGGCAGTGAGGTTCTGGTTCTCTTCCTGTTCTCGGAGGCATCAGGGAGATGGGAGGGGTTCAACACAGCCTTACAGCTCTGCCCACTGGACTGAAGGAGAATCCTGGAGCAGAGAGAGATCACACACTTAGAGAACGGACAGACTGGTAGGATTGTCAAGCGTCTGCCGGCCGAGAGTACTTAGCCCCTCTGAACAGAGTGCCGGCCGTAATTTGCAAACCAATGCTACACGTAGAAACGGGCGAACATGACGGCCTTCAGTTGCCAACGGCGACAGCAAGTGAACCAACGGCCCCATACTGTGCAGCTGGACAATCGGTCTAGTGAGTTTTCTCCATTAGTTTAATGCTTATTCTCAACGGGTGTGTACAAAGAGGTAGAGAGTGTGTGTGAGAGAGACACATTCAGGAAGCGTTTAAGTACCTTAAAGACCGCGATGACCTGCTGTGGATATTTTTTTCTTCTTGTCTGTAAAACACACAAACACACACCATATTTCAATATCAACAGCAAGGGAGGGAGAAAGACAGGAGGAGATTGAGACCACATAGCTTGGAGGTGCAGAGACTGAGTGAGAGAGAGAGAGAGCAAGCAGCCGCAGAATCATCCAGAACATTCTAAGATGTTGATCATTCATTTACTCATGGCTCAGAGGAACTAGCTGACACCGAGTTTGATGCAAAGCTGAATGTGAGGCTATGTAACCACTTTGTTTGTTATTCAGGTGCTGGAGGCTTGCCAGAGGTCAAATATAAGCTGGTTGATGGCTTTGTAGCACTTAATTAGGAATTTGATCAATATCTGCTTTCATCGATTCCTTGAAGCGCACTATTCAGTTTGGGTGGGAGTGATTTGCATTGGCATTGCTGATATGCAGCTACTGGTAAGATTATTCCAAAACAGAGATTCATGGAGTGAAATGTAAAAACAGGAAGTGGTTATTACTTACAGTGTTTTAAGTTAAAAAGGAAAAAAGGCATTTCCAAAACTCTCCAAGACTGACACAAAGGCCTAAGTAACACATCATAGAAACGTGATCCCTACTTCTCCTCGTTTGCAATTTTTTTTAATAAAGTCAGTCAAATATAAAATAAAGTCAGTTGCAGCCAGGGTGTGACAAAACTTTATTAGAACTCTGAAGGAGCTTTAGAAGTCTAAAGAAAGGTGAGGATGGAGGCAGGAGGAGGGGCCCCAGCAAATAAACTCTTGTTGAGGGGGTTATTAAGGTGAGGGGGCACACTTACAGCATTCTCAGTTAGATTCCGGAAGGGGGAAGAGTTTGGGGGACGGGCGGGCAGGAGAGCTCAGTGAAATCCTAACCCGTCTATACAGAAATGCAGGATGGAAGAAGGGAAGCCATACACAATCCACCACAGGGCAAGGCTACACAGGGACGAGAGCAGCATGGCTACCAACCATCTAAAGGAGGAGGGGGAAAACATCCAACAAACAGAACAGAAACAAAAACATGACAGAAAGGACGCACAGAGAGACATCCAGAGAATCTCACATTCTTTTTTCCACTGGAACTGGGTCAGGCTTAGCCAACAGCAACACCCCGTCCTGAGTCCTACACATCCACTAGCCTGGGTGCCAGACCCTTTCCACTTCAGCCAACTGGTTATCTTGATTGACAAGGCAGCAAAGTGGCATTATTAAATGCTGAAACAGTTAGGCTTCCAGGCTACAAATCCACTAGCAGAACCAGACTAAATAAAGCCTTCTCACCATAGCAGAAAAGGTACCTGCTAGGTTTTCACTAATTCAAGTCTCACCTCCTTCCAAGTTCTTGCATTGATTTTACACAACTTGTTTTCCACAGCATGCTAAAACTGTTTCCCAAATGGTGGTCTAGTGGCGCATTTCAGAGTCTACCATCTTCTGCGTTTGCGCAGTTATAGGCCTAAGAATGGTTCAACATTTAAGGAAACATCAAAGCTTGCTTCCAGTTTCCTCTAAAAGACTGACTTCAATGGAGAAGGCAATCAACGACATGGTGCAAGAACAAAGGCCCCTCCATAGGCCTAGAAAACTGAAGAAAAGCTTCACACAATGTGTGTTTTACTGTGTAAATACATCACCTAAAGATAACTGGGCTTATACACCTCTGTTCGTCCAGAAGCCAAATGTTGTCACGAGGACTGTTCCCACAGTGAACACCAAGGGCATTTCACAATCATGAGTAGGATACATTCTGGAATCTACAGTTTAGTCATTTAGCAGACGCTCTTATCCAGAGCGACTTACAGGAGCAATTAGGGTTAAGTGCCTTGCTCAAGGGCACATCGACAGATTTTTCACCTAGTCGGCTCGGGGATTAGAACCAGCGACCTTTCGGTTACTGGCACAACGCTCTTAAGCACTAAGCTACCTGCCGCCCTAGTAGCTTAGTAGAACATAATCTGAGTCTAACTGTGCCTGTGGACGATACTGGTGGAAAGAAATGGAGACTTTCATGAAAATAATGAGCAATATCATTTCAAAGACATGAATACAATAGGCAGATGAAAGTGGCCTATGGTGATTGGACCCTTTCTACGACGAGTCAATGAGGGATTCTTACAAGATAAATGTGGGTGTGGTTCAGTAGAGAGAAGAGGATTTTTTGGCAGGAAGAAGCAAGGCTCGGACAATAGGCAGGCACTGACCCAGTCACTAACACAATGGAAAAAGAACAGGCATTTTACATTCAACCGGGCCCAACACTTACAACATATTAGGTACAATACAGAGACCATGCATGTTCAAAGGTTAAATCATGCTTTTAGTCATGCATAGGAGGTAAAAATAGATCACACGTGCCCACAGTCAATGTTGCATTATCCCTTTCACAGAGAAAAACTAAATGGTAGCTAGATTATGCTGGAGTTTAATAATAGGAGGGCAAGGTTTGGGCTGCCATGAACAGCAAATCTCAGAGCATATTGCTGTATCCATGATGATGGAGAAACCACATTCTGTTGAGCAGCTGTCTCAATCAATAGTATGAGAAGTCCTCGGAATCCCGTCTACTGGAGATTCCCAGTTCTCACCCTTGCTAGCCTGTGCATATCAAAGCAGCACGTGCCAGAGCAGGTGACCAAAATCATTCATCACATTATCCATCCACTGGATACCTTATCGTACCGCAGTCACCCAAAAGCCATACATCCATTGGCATGGCAACCATGTATACAGGACGAGGAAGCTAGTCAGACAAGAAGTGACATGCACTTACCTCCATGATACAAAACCTCACTTCCTCTCTCTGTTTTTTTCTCTGTATTTCCCCCTCTCTGTCTCGCTCTCTCTGCTACATTTTGAAAGGCAGACAGCACTCTGGCCACACGGTGCCTAAGAGGCTCCAGCAGTATACTACCGCCTGCCTGCCACGGGATAACAAAACCCATAGCCATAGGTGTTCACAGAGGTCTACAAACTGTCCTCCATGTTGGCACCAAATGTTCCACAACCATAGCATTCTTATTTGGATTCTGAGTGGAAGTACCAACATGGTGCCCATTAAAATAGTAAATCTGGCGCTCATTAAAATAGTGCAGTGTGCCCAGCCCATAAGGGCTTATAAGACACTACTTTCAGTCATTCTACATAGCCAATGTTCTCATCATCAACAACAGTCAATCAGTGTTAGAATCATAAGTTGCAGCTATTGTATGGTTTTGAGGCAGACAATGGAAAATAAACCATGACGACTACAAGACCCAATACACGGCACCAACAGAACAACAAGCGGACTGTTATATAAACCCAAAACCTGTATAACAACCCATAGCAAATATACCTATAAATGGGCCAACTATCATTAGGCTAAAATCAAATCCTTGCCTCCCAAGAATGAATGGGGGAGCATGAAATGACATGAAAAATAGAAACTACAATCCCAAATGATCTCAAGTTATAATCCTAATGAAACCTCAACTTTCTCTTAACATCAATACAATGAATGACTTGGATAACATGACTACACAGCCTGTTCCTACCACCCCCCCATTACAATTTTATGAGCTTTGAGCACTAAATAAACCTATTTAATTAATTTGATAGCTCAACCAAATGCAGGGAATTGGGAGAGGAGGGGGGGTGCACTTATTTCAGTATCCTGAAACAAGTCAGTGTGATGCATGATGGGAGTTGAAGGTAGATGGGATACTTACGATTGGGAGCCTGTGGATGCTCTGGCCTGTCTCTTGCTTTTCAGGGCTCGCAGTTTATCACCCTGCGTGACGCCATTCATCTCCTCATCGTCATTATACTGAGGGAGATGAAAGAGAAATGGTAAGAGGTACACAGACAGAGGAATCCATTTGCTCACTATTCCCTCCTTTCTTTTCATTAAGGTTTATTCAATTTCTTCACATCAAAGTAACCAGACAGGATTTCCAAAACTCTCACCAGTTCTTTCTCGGACGTCCTGTTCTTGTTGCTGCCGTTGAGGGTGATGTCATCAACCCCCGACAGGATCCTGGTGACAGCCAGCTTGCCGTTTTCCTGCTCATTTATTTTCTCCCGGAACACGTCGCCCTCCGACCACAGGCGGCTCTGATTACTGCGGCATAATAGGAAAACAGCATTCAAGTTGTACATCTCCCTACAAACATCTTTGATACTGATCAACAATTGATACTCAACTCAATCCAAGAGCTCCCAGAACTGAAAAACCTGAGTTGAATTGGGTGCGTTAGTGCTGGGTTGGAACAAAAGTCTGCCTGTGGCTCTCCAGGACTAGAGCTGGTGACCACTGATCTATACAGCAATATCCTTCACAACAATGGATTGAATCTAGATAAATCAGACACATACTCTTCCACAAAGTTTTGTTGTGGTCCGATGACCGATCCGGGCCGGCAGATACGCATCCAGGCGATGGCCTCAGCCGCAGTCAGGCGGTAGTGCTTCATCATGTAGCAGCCTATCAGAGTGCCTGTTCGACCCAGACCAGCTGAAAAACATTGGGATCAGTATTGGTATTGGTCTTCACAAAGTTTGCTGCTTCAGTGTTTTTAGATATTTTTGTCAGATGTTACTATGGTATACTGAAGTATAATTACAAGCATTCCATAAGTGTCAAAGGCTTTTATTGACAATTACATTAAGTTTATAAAAAGAGTTAATATTTGCAGTGTTGACCCTTCTTTTTCAAGACCCCTGCAATCCACCCTGGCATGCTGTCAATTAACTTCTGGGCCACACCCTGACTGATGGCAGCCTATTCTTGCATAATCAATGCTTGGAGTTTGTCCGAATTTGTGGGGTTTTGTTTGTCCACCCGCCTCTTGAGGATCGACCACAAGTTCTCAATGGGATTAAGGTCTGGGGAGTTTCCTGGCCATGTCGATGTTTTGTTCCTCGAGCCACTTAGTTATCACTTTTGCCTTATGGCAAGGTGCTCCATCATGCTGGAAAAGGCATTGTCCGTCACCAAACTGTTCTTGGATGGTTGGGAGAAGTTGCTCTCGGAGGATGTGTTGGTACCATTCTTTATTCATGGCTGTGTTCTTAGGCAAAACTGTGAGTGAGCCCACTCCCTTGGCTGAGAAGCAACCCCACACATGAATGGTCTCAGGATACTTTCCTGTTAGCATGACACAGGACTGATGGTAGCGCTCACCTTGTCTTCTTCCGGACAAGCTTTTTTCCGGATGCCCCAAACAATAGGAATGGGGATTCATCAGAGAAAATGACTTTACCCCAGTCCTCAGCAGTCCAATCCCTGTACCTTTTGCAGAATATCAGTCTGTCCCTGATGTTTTTCCTGGAGAGAAATGGCTTCCTCGCTGCCCTTCTTGACACCAGGCCATCCTCCAAAAGTATTTGCCTCACTGTGCGCGCAGATGCACTCACACCTGCCTGCTGCCATTCCTGAGCAAGCTTTGCACTGGTGGTGCCCCCGATCCCGCAGCTGAATCAACTTTAGGAGACGGTCCTGGCGCTTGCTGGACTTTCTTGGGCGCCCTGAAGCCTTCTTCACAACAATTGAACCTCTCTCCTTGAAGTTCTTGATAATCCGATAAAATGGTTGATTTAGGTGCAATCTTACTAGCAGCATTATCCTTGCCTGTTAAGCCCTTTTTGTGCAAAGCAATGATGACGGCACGTGTTTCCTTGCAGGTAACCATGGTTAACAGAGGAAGAACAATGATTTCAAGCACCACCCTCCTTTTAAAGCTTCCAGTCTGTTATTCTAACTCAATCAGCATGACAGATTGATCTCCAGCCTTGTCCTCGTCAACACTCTCACCTGTGTTAACGAGAGAATCACTGACATGATGTCAGCTGGTCCTTTTGTGGCAGGGCTGAAATGCAGTGGAAATGTTTTTTTGGGATGAAGTTCATTTTCATGGCAAAGAGGGACTTTGCAATTAATTGCAATTCATCTGATCACGCTTCATAACATTCTGGAGTATATGCAAATTGCCATCATAAAAACTGAGGCAGCAGACTTTGTGAAAATTTATATTTGTGTCATTCTCAAAACTTTTCACCACGACTGTAGTGTTTGATCACAGTTATGGTGTCAATCTTTCCCATTAATTTGGGACTGAGGCCTACAGGCCAAGTTTGAGGTATGAAAAGGTAATGTAATGAGGTAATGTACCTTTGCAGTGAACAGCGATAGCTCCGTCTGAGTTCTCACAGATGTTGAGGAACTTCCTGACGATTGAGTCGTTTGGCGTGCTTCCGTCCACGAAGAAGAGGTCGTGGTGCTCGAAGCCCATGTCCGTGAAGCGCTTGGCGTCATACATCTTTTTGTTGAGACGGACAATGGTTGTGATATTGTGTTTCCTGAAGTAAGGAAAGTAGGCCTCGGGGGCATGGAGAGGGTAACCTGGAGAGAACAAAATGTTTTTGTAGAAAGGTGCAATTGAAAATGCTTTACTTCTGCACACCTGAAGTCACATGTATTTGTACACAGGCATGTAGGGAAAGTGTACACACCGTGTTTACTTGTAAAATGATCATTCATTTGATAAAGTTCTGTGACTGAAATGTTTCATGTTTTCGATGTCCGCTTTGTAAGTATAGGCTAAAGGGAGTTAATTTGCCAGTCATTCTCAGTCGGGAAAAGATCAATGTGGCAGCATGTTCCACATTGGCATTTTTTTTTTTTATGCAGACATTTCTTTACAGCTCAGATTGCAGAAAACTAATCTGGAGGGTTTCAACCTACCGTTCTCCATTTTGCTTTTTGGATGAGGACCGCTGAACGCTAGGAATTTCCCAGGAATTATCCAGTTGAAATCTCCATTTTCTGCTCTCTGCAACAAAGAGATATGGACAGACAATTACGAATCCTTTGTGTTCACCCAAGTTGCATTCTGAAATATGACAGTGATAAACTTACCTCGTAATGTTCGTATTCCTCCACATCAAACCGGGAGAAATCAAGCCAGCCAAACTGCAGAGCCTGGAGATATATTTTATGGAAGTTCATTTTATTTGAAGCATGGAACACTATGCAAAATGTTTTACATTTCATAAATGTGCAGCTGCAAATTAACTTGTTAGACTAACATCAGACTGACTGAAGCACTATACCTTGTATATGGCGCACAGGCAGTCTAGAATGCTCAGATTGTACAAGCAGGTTCCAAAAGAGGCATCTCTGTTTAAAACAAACAAAACAATTACATTTAGAAACAATTCAAATCTATCTGCATAAAGCATTCATACCACATTTAGGACTAAATAAATACAGGGTATTAAAAGCTTAACAATATGACATTGATCAATTGTGATTGGCACTACTTTCTAATGTGTGCTCTTGAGGAGTTCCTCTCTCTGGAAGTTCTGTGTTTGTGTGTGTGTTTACCTGAAGGGTAGGTAGGTAGAGTTCCTGGACACCAGTAGACTGTAGGCTTCCTCTGGTGTCTTCTGAAGATGCATCACCTTCAAAACAAACACAGGCCAGTATTACGGAGGAACTACTAACGGATAACAGCAGCAACATTATAATGAAGATTTACAAGCACTTTTATTACCCGGTAACATACAATCAATCATGGGTTCAGGGCTATCAATCAGTATGACTTCTCTGCTGAGTGAGAAATACTTACTGCATATGAACCAATAAGATAGGCAGCGTTGGCTTGTTTCTTTTGGTCTCCACAGGTGTAGAATACTATCTTCTTCTTTGCTAGTGTGAATGACTGCTCCAGATGACAACAAAATAATAATTAGCCAATTACATTTAATTCATTTAGCAGACACTTATCTAGAGTGATTTACAGGAGCAATTAGGATTAAAGTTGCAATATGCATCTTTTAGGGCGACCCGACCAAATTCACATAGAAATGTGTGTTATAGATCTGTCATTCTCATTGAAAGCAAGTCTAAGAAGCAGTAGATCTGTTCTATGTGCGCTATTTCTATGCTTCCCGTTCTTAAGTTTCGTTTTTGCGTCTTTTACTTTTGGTTTTGTACAACAGCCTCAAACAGCTGAAAATTCAATCTTTTTGGTTATGGAAAATATATTTCACACCAGTTTAGATGGTACAATAATTTTCTACACTATACTTGCTTGTTTTGTCACAAACTGAAATTAGGCGAACTATTCGAATTTTAGCAACCAGGAAATGACGGAGTGATTCCTGCTTGCTCAAAGGCACAGAAAGATTTTTCACTTAGTCAGCTCGGGGATTCGAACCAGCAACCTTTCGGTTACTGGCCCAACGCTTTTATCTGCTAGGCTACCTGCCGCCCATACTGCACATCACTACACAAAACAATCCTGATCCCTGACTACGACAGACTAACAACATAGCAAGTAGAGTTGACAACATATAGAACAGTAATAAATGGAAAAGTTTATGTTTTGTAACAACTTTTCCATATAAGCTTGTGTTCCACCAATAGGCATAGGCCTGCTATAAGTCAGACTGTCATTGGGTTTACCAGGACTGGACTAGGATATCTCTGAACTCAATGCTCTTAGTCTCTCTAGACATCCGGGTTTCCTCCCAAAATGTTCTAATATTCCGATTTAACAATAGAACGTCATTTTGGCATAGAGGAACTACGTCACTGTCTACGTCACTACCTTATCCGCTTGAATAAAATACTAAATAGTAGCTAGCAAGATGGAGATCAGAGGTTATTTTTAATGAGTGCATTTCGCAAATGGCTAGTTTGAATCAACTACCTTCACTAAAACCACTGCAAAGGTTTTGCCTGCAAACTTAGGTTTCGAATCACGACGTTCTGGCATGTCTGCCTCGTGATTTGTTGGGAGAGTTGTCTGTCTGAAGAGGACCCATCCCTAAATATACATATTTTTCCTTTATCAAAGTTGCCGAAAGAGTCTGTCATTGAAACCAGACCCTAGTCACTGCTGTTTCCTAGAGTCGGGTTTACGAGACTACAATGCTATACAAATCACAAGTTCTAAAACCCTGCCAACAGTCTCTTCAAGAATCTACAAACATTCACACTAGTCAGAAAGGGGTACATAACTTCTGTTTGGTTAGGCTGAGAGAACTGTTGACTATCAATTGACCAAGTCCTCTGTCAGTGTGTGTGTTGAGGTTACAGAGTTCCTTTACCTTGAGCTTTTTAGTGAGCTTGCAACAGAAGCGATAAAACATGGCCAGGTTGAGCGGACCAAAGTCTGCATAGAAGCTGAAGAAGAGAGAACACAAGGCACAGGCAGATTGACTGTTAAAGCAACGTTTCATTAGACTGTTCATAACTTTGCAGATCAATCAATAAATCAGCTCTCCTAAATAGGCCTAAGCCTCTGAAGAAACCTAATGGATGGAGACATTTCTTGTCACAATATTCACATTTCCGAGCCTATAATGTTACACTGCGTGTGAACTATCCTCTTTGCTGATGAACATTCATACTTGGATATCCACATATGCTATTCATTAATGTTCAACACTTACAGTGCATTCGGAAAGTATTCAGATGTCTTTACTTTTTCAACATTTTTATGTTACAGCCTTATTCTAAAATTGATGAAATTATTTTTTCCCCTCAATCTACACACAATACCCCATAATGACAAAGCGAAAACAGGTTAAGAAATGTTTGCACATTTATTCAAAATAAAAAACTGAAATATCTTATTTACATAAGTATTCAGACCCTTTGCTATGAGACTCGAAATTGAGCTCAGGTGCATCCTGTTTCCATTGATCATTCTTGAGATGTTTCTACAACTTGATTGGAGTCCACCTGTGGTAAATTCAATTGATTAGACATGATTTGGAAAGGCACCCACCTATCTATATAAGGTCCCACAGTTGATAGCGCCTGTCAGAGCAAAACCAAGCCATGAGGTCGAAGGAATTATTCATAGCGCTTCGAGACAGGATTGCGTCGAGGCACAGATCTGGGGAAGGGTATCAAAACAATTCAGCAGCATCGAAGGTCCCCAAGAACACAGTGGCCTCCATCATTCTTAAATTGAAGAAGTTTGGAACCACCAAGACTCTACCCAGAGCTGGCCGCCTGGCCAAACTGAGCAATCGGGCGAGAAGGGCCTTGGTCAGGGAGGTGACCAAGAACCAAATGGTCACTCTGATAGAGCTCCAGAGTTCCTCTGTGAAGATGGGAGAACCTTCCAGATGGACAACCATCTCTGCAGCACTCCACCAATCAGGCCTTTATGGTAGAGTGGCCAGACGGAAGCCACTCCTCAGTAAAAGGCACATGACAGCCCGCTTTGATTTGCCAAAAGAAACCTAAAGACTCTCAGACCATGAGAAACAAGATTATCTGGCCTGAATGCCAAGCGTCACGTCTGGAGGAAACCTGGCACCATCCCTATGGTGAAGCATGGTGGTGGCAGCATCCTGCTGTGGGGATGTTTTTCAGCAGCAGGGACTGGGAGACTAGTCAGGATCAAGGGAAAGATGAACGGAGCAAAGTACAGAGAGATCCTTGATGAAAACCTGCTCAACAGGACAACGGCCCCAAGCACACAGCCAAGACAACGCAGGAGTGGCTTCGGAACAAGTCTCTGAATGTCCTTGAGTGGCCCAGCCAGAGCCCGGACTTGAACCCGATCGAACATCGTTGAAAATAGCTGTTCAACGACGCTCCCCATCCAACCTGACAGAGCTTAAGAGGGTCTGCAGAGAAGAATGGGAGAAACTCCCCAAATACAGGTGTGCCAAGCTTGTAGCATCATACCCAAGAAGACTCTAGGCTGTAATCGCTGGCAAAGGTGCTTCAACAAAGAACTGAGTAAAGGCTCTAAATACTTATGTAAATGTGATATTTCAGTTTTTATTTTTATATCATGTGTAGATTGATGAGAAAAAAATACAATTTAATCAATTTTAGAATAAGGCTGTAACATAACAAAATGTAGAAAAAGTCTGAAAACTATCCAAATGCACTGTATAGTGAAGTTGTATTCAACCTCATGAAAGGACAGACCTACTATTAGTGGGACAAGGATGAGATACAATAAACTTGACAGAACATGAACTCCCTTTCCATGTTTGAGAAATATCTGCAATGGTTTAGGACTTCCTGAGCAGAACAATTGACTACTGAACTTCAAATACACTTAAAAAGAGTTGTCAGTTCTTCATGTACTCGACTCAATTGACTGTACTTGGTTTGGTCTGTGTAGTGGTACTAACAATGCATTTGCATACGAGTGATTCCTCATGAAACCAGGACAAAAAAAGACCATGATCTTTTGGATTTTCACGAAATGTAATCCATAGAATGATCCTTTGGGGTAAGGATTGTTGACAAACTCAGCAAAAAAAGAAACGTCCTCTGTCCACTGCGTTTATTTTCAGCAAACTTAACATGTGTAAATATTTGTATGAACATAACAAGATTCAACAACTGAGACATAAACTGAACAAGTTCCACAGACATGTGACTAACAAAATAGAATAATGTGTCCTTGAACAAAAGTAACAGTCAGTATCTGGTGTGGCCACCAGCTACATTAAGTACTGCAGTGCATCTCCTCCTCATAGACTGCACCAGATTTGCCAGTTCTTGCTGTGAGATGTTACCCTACTCTTCCACCAAGGCACCTGCAAGTTCCCAGACATTTCTGGGGGGAATGGCCCTAGCCCTCACCCTCCGATCCAACAGGTCCCAGACGTGCTCAATGGGATTGAGATCTGGGCTCTTCGCTGGCCATGGCAGAACACTGACATTCCTGTCTTGCAGGAAATCACGCACAGAACGAGCAGTGTGGTTGGTGGCATTGTCATGCTGGAGGGTCATGTCATGATGAGCCTGCAGAAAGGGTACCACATGAGGGAGGAGGATGTCTTCCCTGTAATGCACAGCGTTGAGATTGCCTGCAATGACAACAAGCTCAGTCCGATGATGCGGTGACACACCGCCCCAGACCATGACGGACCCTCCACCTCCAAATCGATCCCGCTCCAGAGTACAGGCCTCGGTGTAACGCTCATTCCTTCGATGATAAACGCGAATCCGACCATCACTCCTGGTGAGACAAAACCGCGACTCGTCAGTGAAGAGCACCTTTTGCCAGTCCTGTCTGGTCCAGTGACGGTGGGTTTGTGCCCATAGGCAACGTTGTTGCCGGTGATGTCTGGTGAGGACCTGCCTTACAACAGGCCTACAAGCCCTCAGTCCAGCCTCTCTCAGCCTATTGTGGACAGTCTAAGCACTGATGGAGGGATTGTGCGTTCCTGGTGTCCCGCAGGTGTGATGTTCGGATGTACCGATCCTTTGCAGGTGTTGTTACACGTGGTCTGCCACTGTGAGGACGATCAGCTGTCCGTCCTGTCTCCCTGTAGCGTTGTCTTAGGCATCTTACAGTACGGACATTGCAATTTATTGCCACATCTGCAGTCCTCATGCCTCCTTGCAGCATGCCTAAGGCACGTTCATGCAGATGAGCAGGGACCCTGGGCATCTTTCTTTTGGTGTTTTTCAGAGTCAGTAGAAAGGCTTCTTTAGTGTCCTAAGTTTTTATAACTGTGACCTTAATTGACTACCGTCAGTAAGTGGTTAGTGTCTTAACGACCGTTCCACAGGTGCATGTTCAATAATTGTTTATGGTTCATTGAACAAGCATAATAAACAGTGTTTAAATCCTTTACAATGAAGATTTGTGAAGTTATTTTGATTTTTACTAATCATCTTTGAAAGACAGGGTCCTGAAAAGGGGACGTTTCTTTTTTTGCTGAGTTTATATGGTTCACATTTGTATCATAATTGAGAAATACTTAAATAACAAAAATTACATTCATTTATGAATATTGAGAAATTAAAAAGATAACAAAAAATATGGTTTAGTATGAAGATGACTAGAAACTGCTTCTGCAAAATAAATTCCCGATCACATTTGTAGGCGATGTCATGGCGACGTTAGCTAGCTACGCTCATGTGCAGAAACACATCCTCAGGCCGTCAAGTCCAAGGCACTCCTTCTATATAAAGTTGTTTTGACGAAAATGAAAACGTGTCAGTTTGTTACTTTCACGAGGTTGGAGTAATAACATCTTCTTAAGACATTGGCTTAAATTTAGGCTGTGCCAGCAGAAAATTAACAACTAAATTATCATTTTTCACTTCTCACATTGACTTCCCAAACTGTGATGTTGGGCCTCTAGGTTTAGAAACTCTGTGATAATATACTCTACGGACATATCAAAGTTTGAGAGTGGGATCTCTGCTACTTTTAAAGTTATGATGCAATTTGTAAGCATTACCAACAGAGTGAATGTGAAAATGGATTCAAATATGAAAATGGTCGCCCTCTGTTGGTGATTTGCAGGGTGTGCAATGATACAAGTAAAGGGGTCTACACAGAATACGCAAACAGAGCTGACGGAGCATAGTGCTGTGTCGCAATGTCGTTTTTCCTCACAAAAGGGGCAGCTTCTTGTAGTGTGTGCCTACTTCTGACGTATTCCCGTGCCACATGAAAATTGTAACGCGCCGTATCATCCCTTCTGTAACCATGGGGGCAGTGTTGTGTAGGCAATTAATTTTGCTCGCTATTTTGCATTGATAAGCAAATATAATCTCTGTGACTGTTCAAACAATAAACCAAACAACATGGTAGCCTTATTAGAATCTCCCCCACCCCCAAATGTATTTTGTTTAGAAGTTATAACAAGTGATTCCAGGAGACTGGTAAAAACAGCTGCAAGATATGTGCTTTTCCATGACCAAAACATGATGAAATTCTATTTTTAGCTGATATGGGAGTGAATACATTCAAGCAGCATATCAAACTGGGATAACATTGTAAGTATACGAATACTTGCTAGAGCATATTATTTCATTATAAATCTGATTATTTCACATGGAGATGTGGGAAGCTAAAAAGGCTAGCTAGCTTGCTATGTTTTTAGCCAGGCTAAAGCCAGCTAGCCAGGCTGCCAGCTAGCTACTACTAGCAACGGAAGGCACCTCTTCCCTGTTTTCACAAACAGAATGTGAGTGGGACCTGCGAGGATATCATGTCACCAAAAGAAAGAAAAAAAATAAAAAAAATAATATATACACACATACATGAATATTGAAAAAAACAAATTAGTTGATTTGGTCATTTCTTTATATATATATATATATATAATGTAAGTCGCTCTGGATAAGAGCATCTGCTAAATGACTCAAATGTAAATGTATAAAGAAATGACCAAATCAACTAATTTGTTTTTTTCAATATTCATGTATGTATGTATGTATGTATGTATGTATGTATGTGTATATATATATATTTTATAAACTACTGTAAAAAAAAGATATATATATATAAATACTACTCATATTAAAAGAGCAAGCGGTAAAGCTTCATTATTTTTTTTTGCCTTGTAGCACCTTCAAATGAAACATTATGGAGTCATAAACAGGAGGCCTGGGTAAGGCCAAAATGTCAAATATGCCAACTTGTATTTATTATTTCTCAATTATGCTTTTACATACAAATATCAAATATATGTTAAGCTGCAAAGTCAAAATTGTCTATAGTAAAAATTCATGAAAACAAAAATGAGGTTTTTGGTCTTAATTTAAGGTTAGGCATTAGGGTTAGCAGTGTGGTTAAGGTTTTAAATCGGATTTTATGACTTTATGGCCGTGCCAGCTATAATGACCACTTTGTAGAGCTCCAGTACACGAGTAATCTCAAATTCAACCAGGGGTGAGTTTCCCAAAAGCATCATAGATCATCTTCATTCCACTGAAACTAAATGGACGAAAGTTTTTTTTTTTTGTCTTGGGGTATAATCATTACTCCAAACAGTTTCAAAACGTTCAGTTCTGCAACCAAAACTGTTGTTTCTATTCGACAGATTCGGGTAGGTCCCGCCCTGTTTGCTGAACCTGCCCAATAGAAACGCTAGTTCTTGTTGCAAAACAGAACGTTTTGAACCTGATTGGATTAATGATTACACACCTGGTTTCGTGAGGAATCACTCATATGGCCTACGAACATCCTGTAATACAAAGCACTTACTTTTCATATGACAGCTCATCATCTATGCAGAAGCAATGTCTATCAGCTGTGCTTTTTATCTTATGCTGTAGTACTGCGAAATACAGTTGATCTGAAAAATAGAAGAAAGGGGGGTTTAAAAGCTTTTTTTGGCACACGGTCGTGGTCTTGGGGAGAGGGCGTTCAGTGATCTAGAGAACTATTTTTATTATATTCTGTTTGAGTTTCATCATGGGTTGGATTTGATTTGAATATGGACAGTCAAACAAACATAAAACAAAGTACCGGTAGCTACAAATGAATGATTGTTAATTGTGCCACAATGTGCGGGCAAAACAAATGGCACGAGCCAGTTTGAATTTGAATTTCCTTTCTCCCGGAAATGTCTCGACCGACGGATATCAATATTGCAACAATTTACAGTAGTCAAGGTATTGTTTGCTTTCAGAACAGCACTTACCTTTAATGATTTCAATACTTTTAGTGACATTGTCCTCGGTCATTCTGATAGCGACTTTAGCCAACAATTCGTTACAAGTCAAATTGAACGTCTTGTTTTCACTGCAGTCTTCCTATAAACGCGCCTAAATAATAACGAAAACGTCTGACATACAGTCCAGCACAATAGCCTACACACTCAGTAAATAAAATATATTTTCTTTATCCCGTGAAATTAAAACGCACCCTAGAAGCTAACTGCAAAATATGGTATTTTCTACCACTCAAAAACCAATAGAAATTGCAGCAAATCTTTTTCTAAAGTAGCATAATGCTTTGCTGGGCAAGGGCTATAAATGTGTCGGCCGTCTTTCGCTGTTGGCAAAATATACTGATATGACAAATAAAGACTAAACTTGCTTAGCGACGAAAAATAAAAGCCCGCATAGATAGGCTACGTACTCTGCTCAAAAAGAGTTTTGAAGGAACCTCATAAGCAACCCCCACTGCAACAATGTAATTCTCTCGCACAACGTTATTGGTTCAAGGAAACGGTGAACGCTACACTGTTGCAGGATTGGCATGCCAATCATTCTACGTTCTAAGCGTGAAGGACTGGGCGGATTCGATTATGTTGAGCCGCGGGGCACCAGTCCATGGCCCGTGACGTAAACGGGCAAAAGCGGTGAAGCAGGAGCGCCCTTCTCAAATCTAACAGTAATCTGCGCCACTCGGTCGTACTGTCAACAAGGCAACATGGTGCATCGCCCAGAAACACATCTATTTTCCATCAAATAGCCTATATCTTTGAATTGTCAAACTAGCTTTCATTGGGAATGCAGACAAAGCGTTTGAAAATACAGAATCCTATTCATTACTTCTCGTGCTTAGTTACGTCCCTTGTTTTTTTTAGCCGACTTCGCCGTGGACTTTGAACGGGGCACCTGGCTCAAGCCTGGGAGGCAGCCCGGTTCCAAAACGAATGCAATCAACTTTCACCCTGTGCAAAACACGCCTCCTCGGGCGCCCGGGCTATATTAATCGAATCCGCTGATTTTTTAAAGTTCTGCCTGGGAAGACATTCGAGATTCTAATTGGAACGCTGCCCAAGCCGTTGCTAGGAGAATAGATTCGCTTGGCCAATAGAAATGCATCTTCTACTTTGACTGAACACTTCCATTGTAGTGAGGGATAGTTAGATTAAGCAATGATATTTGAATTGATTGCAACATTTTTCTTATCAAGATATTACAAAACGACAATATTTGGTTGGTTATACAGGGCTGTAGGCTAGCCTATCATGCAGGCCTAATAAGCATGATGAAGTAGCCTGACAAATAGCCTACAGTAGACCTATTGTTTTTGTGTGCAAAAAGCTCGCCCATTCTCAATGAAAAAATAACAAGTGAGACAATTTCCTTAAGTGAGGTTTGGCTTATAAAAACAGCCACAGTATCATCCCTTTGAATCAGGCAAAATGCATTTATTGTAGCCTAGCCTTTCCTCATTTTTGGGGTTAAAAAGATCATGGTCATGATATACATAGGCCTAGACACTGTAGTATGAAAATGCATAAATTGGGGTAGCTTGACATACAATCAAAAAAATGACAACGCATAATATGTAGCCTAGTCAATACTGGAGCCTAGCTCTACTTGAATGCATTATGATTAGTAACCGATGGTGTCGCCATTTTAGGTAAAAAGCTGCAGGGAAATCAATTGTAGGTCTAATAGTCAGCCACATCATAAAATCTGCATTCAGACCCTGGAAGGCCAGCGTAGCCTACCGTCTATGCTCAAAACTCGCTCAGAGTAGGCTACGAAGGGTTCATCCGCAGTTTCTTACCTGATACACTAATGTGAATATCTGACTTTGGCTCCACCTCCTCTATCTGAGCTGCACGGCGCTTTTTCATCGGCTCGGGTCGCCTCTTTTCGCTTTTGCGCTTCATTCTCGCTTTTATGCATGCACTGCGAGCATCTCCAAATAGCGCAGTGAGATCTGTCTGCGGTGCAGTTGTCTTAGTTTTCGGTGCTTTATTATTTTGATCCTTGCTCTTCAGCTAGGGTGTCATCCGAAGCGCAGTTGTTCGATCTAGCTCAGTTTTTCCTTTGGTGACGTCTGTGAACGGGGCATGTTTCAGGATCCCTTTCTGTGACGTAAGACGTTGCCAACCCCTCACTAGTCACTATTATTTCTATGCTGCTTTTCGACTGTAACACCAGTGTTATACTATACTAGTGTATACACCCTTATGATATATTAGGGGAATTGTGTTTCCATAGTTAGGGCTGAACAGTGCTTAATTTGAGCAGCATCCTGACGGGACAGGATCCAGCACTTCTCAGTTTTGGATTGTTTTGTTCTGGAACCAATTTACATTTTAGTCATTTAGCAGACGCTCTTATCCAGAGGACTTACAGTTAGTGAGTGCATACATTTTCATACTGGCCCCCCGTGGGAAACGAACCCACAACCCTGGCGTTGCAAGCGCCATGCTCTACCAACTGAGCTACAGGGGAATTTGCCAGGATCTGGTACCTCTCTTGGCATGAAAAAGTATTGCCACTGTTTGCAATGTAAAAATTACAATAAAAGCAATCAGAGTTAATTCAAATTGCCTCCTCTGTAATTCTCCTGCCCCCTAAAAAACGTAATGTGAAAACTTGCCTGATATTCTAAGAATGTATTCTAGTTAGGCCAGCCAGGGTTTATGGTTTGCGCAACATTGTAACCTATAGACCAAAAAGTCTGCTGAAGTCTTCAGTCATCTAAAAATATGTAGAATTCCATGAAATGCGTTTATAAAAGGCCACCATTTTCCCGGACCTGCTCTTCTGCTCTATGCATTTTTTTTTTTTTTTACATGCGTTCCGGTACCTCAGAGCCCCCCAGGTCACCCTCCTCTTTGATCATTATTAGGTATAGGTCGCTAGTTACAATGGTATCTTCAACCTAGCCTAGCTTTTAGCTAGATAGCTAGCTACTCTGCCGTGCAAGCTAGCTTGACTTGCTATAATGGTAGAGAAACAAGTTGAGGAAAAAGTAACTAAACAAAACAGGTTTTATTATCACCTGAAATAATATATTTATCATGTCTTGAATGAAAATGTCATATTTTGCAATCTCCCAAAATAAATGCGATCTCTGAAGAGAGACAGGCTCTCCTCCATCTTGTGTTACAAACACTACACTCACAGAGTTTCTAAACCCAGAGGCACAACATCGCGAGACTTCCGGGAATGCTTGCGAAACAGACCAAATAGACCAGGGCTGGGTTTGATAAGTCAATGAGAGTAGTGAAAAATTATTCCTTAGTTAATTTTCTGGAAATCTAAACGCACAGCCTTGAATCGAGCCAATGTCTTAAGTAGTTTAACATGTTATTACTCCAACCTAGTGGTGTAAAGTACTTAAGTAAAACATACTTTAAAGTACAACTTAAGTAGTTTTTGTGGGTATCTGTACTTTACTATTAATATTTTTGACAACTTTTACTTTTACTCCACTACATTCCTAAAGAAAATAATTAACGACCATTAGACCCGACGACGAAGCAGTTTTAGCCTGTCTTCATACTGTACTGTCTTTGCTACACTTGTCATTCAGTTGCAGGGCAAGACTGTGAAGATGACGTAAGGCGTAATGAAATACATCACGATGTAGCGCGGGGCATCAGAGCCGTGTAGCTATGTCACAGCATATGTGGCCTATGGTTTACGCTTTATACATGCCTCCAAAGATTATGGATATAATGACAAGATACATATCTCTCCGCCCTAACAATGGGCGTCGTTGTCCACAAAGCGCCACGACGGGCAGTCTAGCTCCCGCCTATTCTTTCTTTGGATTGGTGGATACATCTCATTCAATGGAGAGAGATGCTATGCTACTAACCTCATACTATGAATAGACAAGTTTACGCGCTGTATCACGGGTGGCGCCATAACTCTACACAAATGCATTTCATTTCCGCCGGAAGTTGTTTGTACAACATCTGCCGGTGTAAACACAGCGATGTCGACGCTAGCTTGGGAACACGGTTCTACTACTTTGACTGGAGATGGCGTTACTCTCCTCCACCCAAATTCAGTGCAGAACTGGGAGGATAACATGACGACGTGGCCCAACATAACGTACAGCAAGATTTGCTCCTACTTCGTGCAATCCATGGCAATAGATGGAAAAGCAATGGACAATCTGAAAGCCTCCGAGGCATATCAATATCTGCACAGCAACAAAGTCGGTTGTGTCATTTCATACAAACATGATCGTTTTGTTTATCTGAAAGCAAATGTAGAGCCTAGCCAGTGTTTGAACAATGCATGGCATAATGCTTGGGTGCTGGTAACTGAAGCTGGAGAAGTCAAAACTGCGGGATGTACGTGTGTTGCTGGACCAGGGAGATCTTGTTCCCACTCAGCTGCGATCCTGTGGAAGGTAATTATTTGACCATTGTAGCCTAGGCCTATGTCTTCTTTTCAAAACGCTATAAATCCATACATTTGTTATTTAAAAAAAAAACTATTTTGTGTTTTAATTTTCGTGTTTGCATTTATGAGGAAAAAACAATGTTAGGCCTACGACAGTTCTCCATTATGGACGTGAGCGCTCTGAAAGCGGCACTAAAGACTTTCAGACTTTCACAGACACCTCAAAACAGAAAGAACAAAGCCTTTAAAGCGAATTTTGTTTTGTATTAATTGTATCTTAATTTAAATAAATGTTTCATTAACCAAATTCCTGGATTTAATAAATAAAAAATAAATATAGCAGACAGACAATAGATAATGACAACATAAGGCTCCGGCCTGAACTGGAGCTTATGCATGAACCGAACACTTGTTTATGAATAAACAATTAAAATGTCTCATTGCAATATTTTACATATTCATAATCATTACTTTTGCTGGTTCTTTGAGACAGCTTTTAGGTGCCGTTTAGATAAGCGCGCTCATAATTGAATTGAATTATGATAATAACGCATTTTCTTCATATTCGTGTTACATCATATGACATGTGTGCAGTGAACCCATTATAATATCTATGCACTGTTTTTACTATATCTCTCTAGGTAGAAAATGCTGTGAGACAGGGGAAAACCGGGCGTGCCTGCACAGACGGACAGAACCAGTGGAATGCTGGGTCTAAAAGAAATGCTGGTCAGAGGAAGATGAAGTATGTCCGCTTCAAACGACACAACAGGAAGGATCTCTACCAGCCGCCACCAACTTCACCGCCATCCTCTACCACTCCAGAACCGGCACAGGAGGTGACACTCTTTAGGACTCATGAAGAGTGGAGGAAGAACGCACTTGCCTCACCAATGGCAGCACTTTTCAATTGCCCTGGGAATAGCCTCCTGCAGCTCTGCTTTAATGCTAATACCTCCTCCATCACCGAGCCAACACCATGTCCACACCTCCATCTCCTACACCATGAAGAGCACCACACACCACTGGCTTGTGTAAAATGCAGAACCTTCTATGATGAATACATTAACATGTCCACAGCCCAGCTTGAGGAGATTGAGAAGGCTACAAAAGCACAGAGCAAAGAACAGGTCTGGCATGATGCGCGGAGAGTGCGCATCACAGCGAGCACAGCTAGAAAGGTGCCCATTCGCTCAACCACGGCGCCTGACAAGTTTTTGTCAGAACACTTACACCCATCCTTCCGTGGCAATGCCGCAACCCGTCAAGGAGCGGAGGGGGAGGAACTTGCAAGGGACTATTTGGAAACTCTGGGCAACAGCATTGAAACCAAAGGCTTAGTGGTGTGCGAAAAGGAACCGTGGCTTGCAGCATCTCCCGATGGAGTGATAAACAACGACATTCTGTTGGAGATCAAATCACCTGTGATGGGAAACAAGTCACTTGCAGAATTTTTGGCAACAAAGAACTGCGAAATCACAACTGTGGCAAACGGAGATAGGGTAGATTACCATATTGCCTGCAATGGTCCAAAAGGCTACTACATGCAGGTACAAATTGGGATGCACTGCACAGGGGTTCAGCACTCCAGGTTGGTGATCTGGAACAAAACGGAGCACCTAGAAATCGAAGTACCCTACGACCAAGGCTTTGTCCAGGGGCATATCATAAGGCTGCGCACATTCTACTTTGCCCACATGCTCCCGAAAATTGTTGATGATTTTGTTGAGGGAAGGTTACAGTTCTGCAGTAAATATCTCAGCATTTTAAAACCAAAATAAACTGCCTTATTTAGGTCATGCCCACAGGAGCCAACAGATGTCCATTGTTTACATGATCTCTTTATGCTGTGCAATATATCAGTGTGCCTACTGTTTGAGTGAAAATAAAGTTTGATGTAATTTCAATCCTTAGAGTGCTACAATTTATTTTAACACAGTTCATAATTCATAGTAAGCTCATACTGTACATAAATAACACTCGATTAATTAATTGTTTTGAGGAAACTAAACAAATGGCTTCAACAAGAAAGATTGCGTGTTTAATCTCAACAGGTATTAAAAAGTAAAATACAAAAGCAGCCCACACAATTACATCACTATGAAAATATTCATATATAATATTTAAAAATACAATGCACGCAGTATTTGTTGTGTTTATCTGTATTTAATGAACAACATGGCTGGGTGTTGGTAGACAGGGACACAGGGCAATATTCTAAACCTCACTGATCAGTGGACTCTTCAGGTTAACTAGGCCAGCACAGATGGTTAAGATGTTGTCCAGTTTCAGTGCCATGCTGATGGGAACATTCTGGGATAAAATCTTAAACACCTTCAGTCTCTGGATTGCTCTTTCCACATGTATGCGGACATTGGCTACCCATTGGGTCTGGGCATCTCGAAATTTTGGTGTAGCAGGCTCGGCCTCACAGACAGGCTGACAGGTTTCTGGAGCATCTAAAAAGGGGAAGAGAAAACATGGGTGGAGCAAAATTAATGCAGGCATAGAGTCCTCTCACTACAAACATCACAATGGAAAAATGTGTACTACAACATTGCACTCACACGCACACACACAATCATCATCACAACAGCCTGCCACCTTGCATTGTATTTATGATGTAGACTAAGGCACACGCAGGCAGGCACACACACACACACACACAATTAATGATGTAGCTATCGTGGGCATTGTTTGTCCCATCTCCAAAACAATCAACTGCCTTAGCAAAATACCGGTAGCAATGTTAATGTATGACAACTTCTTCATAATTAACAGTATTGTCAGCTTCATAGCTAAAGTTGCTGAACTTACCCTCAGATTCAAGTCTGCGTTTCTTTATCTGGGAGGAGGCAGTGGTCCGCTGGGTGAGTTGACGCCTATTTGGCTGGGGAGGGCGATTGTATCCCAACCACAACTCTGGGAAAGGATTATCCTTGGTAGGTTTTTGGTCAACAAAGTGATAGGAACAAACAAAAACGTTGAGGGGTGGTTTCTTTAGATTCAATGCCTTCAGCCAGGTCCTTGATTCCGAGTCAGTATCAGGCTTGCGAAAAAATGTAAACAATGGAGCGCATGGACATTGCCTCTTTGTAGCTGGTTTGTGGTCGTAGCACTCTCTATCTAACCACTCGTTCAGGTGCTTTCTCAAGTTTTTGCAACCAACTACCGCACACGTCGTTCCCGAACCACTTTTCTTCATGTTGTAATTGTAATTTTTATATCCTCTTCGTCACTGCGATATCAGTGCTTTGTCGGCACAACGGAGCTAGCTAGCAAAACAAACCCAGCCCGGCAGAACGGAACTGGATTGCATCGACGGGAGGAGTTCAGGAAGTAGAGCGGAAACGGCTCAAAAACTTGTCTATAGGCATAGCCATCTCGAGGCAACTCCGATATAAAGTGTTTTGTCTCAAAATTGTCTGGATGTCAGGTGTTCTACTTATATCAGTACACTCGTAACAACTTGTATTACGAAACTTCTATTCGATCAAATAAACGTCATGTAGCAAATAAGCCATTATTTTGTCGTTGTTGACCAAATTCGACACTCTCATTGACCTCCATACAAACACTCCTTGATTGGTTGGCGAAACATCATAAAACGCCACCTGCTGGAGGGAGACAGATTTCCCGCCGAGTTGGGCCTCTGTCTTCCTCTTCCTATAATATAATATAATGTGCCATTTAGCAGACGCTTTCATACATTTTTACGTATGGGTGGTCCTAGGGATCGAACCCACTACCCTGGCGTTACAAGCGCCATGCTCTACCAATTGAGCTACAGAGGACCACTGGTTCCTCCATTTACCGCCCAATGGGATTGCTATCTTCCTTTTTCTAATATCTCTGATGGGGTTTAAGGTGGAGACACACATATTGTACGATATGAGGAGGAAATTATAGTCCTAAAAAAGTTGTCCAATTTCACTGACTCACCAATGATGCGCAGCTCACTCACCCACTGGAGATGGCTGATGCCATTGTGTCAAAAGCCTCTTGCTCAATAGGCCTATTTGGAAGTTGATAACATATTTGGTAGGCAACAGGCAGATTAGTTTTCTCTTTTCAGCAGGAGCCATTTGCTTCCTAATCTGTGTTTGCATTTGAAATATTGCGAAAGGCCTGTTTTGGCTGCATGCTGTTCAATGACAGATTTGCCGCGTTTTCAACTGTAGGCATAGCTTGTGATCCCTAGTCAGTTGTACAACTGAATGCATTCAATTGAAATGTGTCTCCTGCATTTAACCCAACCCCTCTTATCGACGTCCACGTTTTAGGCGCCCGGGGAACAGCGGGTTCGACGACAGATTTTGACCTTGTCAGCTCGGGGATTCGATCTCACAACCTTTCGGTTACTGGCCCAACGCGCCTACCCGCCAGGCTACCTGATTGGGCTACACGTAATCCACAACTAGGCCATTAAAAAAATATATCTACAATTGATCCTCTGTGGCTAAATGATCGGCCTACTCCTGGTGTAGTATTCTGAATTATTTCATTAATTTCCGAAGAGACAGCAGTAATTCTATAACTTTGGCAAATGTATTTCAATTTATCAGGGGTGCTGCGGCAACTCCAGCACCCTTCCCGCGTGTATGATTATATAAGGAAATAAATGATCAAGTGCAACGCTGGAGAGAGTTGGCTCAGAGCAGAGAGAGGGAGAGAGATCATAGAAAGTGAATGTCATTCTAGTTCTGTGAGAGATACAGGCGCGATTCTCTCTCTCACCACAGCAATGACCATGCGTTGGTCTATAGGCTACAATGTTGCACAAATCATAAACCCTGGCCGGCCTAACGCCTTGATCACACCGATAATGTTTACGCAAAATAGTCCTCAGCATCATCTGGATATGTGTGCAAAAAAGTTGAACATTCACCTTCTGCTATCATTTCTGTCAAGCAGTCGCCACATACAGTTTGACGCATATGTTCGTTAAATCCAACGTATGCACCACACAGAATGTACGGCTACTGCCTCTGCAACGCAACGCTGCAAGGCAAACGCAGCGTTCCATTGGAAATGAATGTACTTCTGGTGAACCAAAACGCTTATTACTGTCGGTGTGATCGAGGCGTTACTCGAATCAATTAATAGAATATCAAGCACGTTTTCACATTACGTTTTTTAGGGGGCAGGAGAATTACAGAGAAGGCAATTTGAATTAACACTGATTGCTTTTATTCTCATTTTTACATTGCAAACGGTGACAATTGTTTTTCATGCCAAGAGAGGTACCGACAACTACTGTCGCAACTACTGTCCACTACATGACTATTGCAACTACTGTCCACTACATGACTATTTTATTTCCAATTGTCATTAGCTACCCCTTTATTCTACCCATTAGACACCAACGTGGACTACAGCCCGGATTGGTCACACTGGGCAAAAACTGACATTTGGCTCCACCAATAACAGAATGTTAATCGCCCTTGTCGTCTTCCTCTCGCTGCATGTATTAGTCCGGAAGTGTTTTCTTTGGAGACCAAAACACTATTAGGATTATTTTACCTGAATTGTTACCAATTTTACATTCTTGTGTGCTGAAATTTAAACGCTCTACTCCTCCGTGTGTTGCACGCGCGGACTATGAGAGCGCGAATCGGAGGGGGGAGCACAGCGTGAACTGGTGAGCAGCAATACAATGTAGCTAGAAGCTAGCTATGCATCCTCAGCTAGTATCCATGTTGCTAGCTAGCTAGCTATCTTCAGCACAGCTGATCTAGCCACTGTTTTACTACTAGCTACTATCCTGTAGTCTTACCATGTAGCCGATTGCTGGATATTTGTTGTTTTACAAGTTATTTTCATTTTCTTCAAGTAGTAGTAATAGCTTGCTTGCTATTCTTCCATTTTAAAACCCAAGCTAAGTGTTTACATGGCAAGTCAGTAGTAAAGGCAGGCACTGTCTAATGATACACATTGAAAAAAGCATACGTCTAAAACCTGCTTGCGCCATGTCAATGATAATGCAAATAAACTCACAATGGATATAATTGAGTAAGGTAAATTGCAACATATACCAATGATTTAAGGCTGAGGGAAGGTAAAGCTTATTCTGATGATTTTGTTTACAAATCTTGGGCGCTACGTTACAATATAATCTCTGCTCTCGCAAAAGTGTTATTTATAATGTAGCCTCCTAGCAAGTGAAACCAATAGTTGCAGAAATCATCTTACTCACTCATTGTCTATTGGGCAGTATCATCAATGTACAAACACTAGCTAACTACCTTATGAATAATGAAATGCGTTGTAGGAAACATAAACACGCTGCTTGCCTTGATACACACACATACATCGATACCCCAGAGACATACACTGCCCAGTATTGTCACTGTCTGTGCCTGACCAAAAATAGCAGCTGCTAAATGCATTTACAGGAAACACTGGTGTGTGTGTGAGTCGAGATGGACCTTACAGTAGTGCTCTATTTAGAGGAACTGGCCACCAGCTGCTCCATTATATTTAGGCACAGATAGTATCATAGTTGTGATTGACCATGCCCTTTGATGAAAGAGCACACACATATAGAATAGCAGGGGGGAAGATAGTGTTACTGTCACTTTTGAAGTTCCTGAAATTCATGTAATGGCATATTTTCCTATTATAGTGCAGATGTTAGGTTATGTTACAGTGTTGGCTTGAAGTGAATGGGACCTTCATGCAGGTCAGTGGAACAGTGGAATGTTTTGGAACTTGACTTGCAGTGATCATAGAGTGGCAGCTCGGTCTTATCTAGTGCCTTAAGGCTGTTGATTGCTTTCTTTCATTTGAAAGGCAAACATTTTGGTTCAGCAGCCCTCGTAAGAGTTTTTATACCCGTGTGGCACTGTACCTTAATTAGCCTGCACTAGTAACAACATTTGTAGTAATATGTTGTGTTACATAGGCTAGTACTTTTTTGCATTTTGATGAAGCTAATGGAGTTGAGCGTAAAAAATAAATACATTGTTACACAAGAGATATATGGACTGTGTCTTACAGTGCCTTCAGAAAGTATTCACACCCCTTGACTTTTTTCCACATTTTATTGTAAGACACAGTCCCTATATCTCTATTGTTACAGCCTGAATTTAAAATGGATTCAATTGAGATTTATTTTTCACTGGCCAACACACAATATACCATAATGTCAAAATTGAATTATGATTTTAGAAATTAGTCAATAAGTGTTCAAATCATTTGTTATGGCAAGCCTAACTAAGTTCAGGAGTAAACATTTGCTTAAGAAGTCACATAATAATTATCATGGACTCACTCTGTGTCCAATAAGTGTTTAACATGATTTTTGAATGACTACCTCATCTCTGTACCCCACACATACAATTATCTGTAAGGTCCCTCAGTCGAGCAGTGAATTTCAAACACAGATTCAAACATAAAGACCAGGGAGATTTTACAATGCCTTGCAAAGAAAGGCACCTATTGGTAGATGGGTAAAACAAAAAGGAGACGTTGAATATCCCTTTGATCATGGTAAAGTTATTCATTACACTTTGGTTGGTTTATTAATACACCCAGTCACTACAAAGAAACAGACGTCCTTCCTAACACATTTGCCGGAGAGGAAGGAAACCCCTCAGGAATTTCACCATGAGGTCAATGGTGCCTTTAAAACAGTTATAGAGCTTAACGGCTGTGATAGGAGAAAACTGAGGATGGATCAACAACATTGTAGTTACTCCACAATACTAACCTAGTGTGAAAAGAAGGAAGCCTGTACAGAATAAAAAAAGATTCAAAAACATGCATCCTGTTTGCAACAAGGCACTAAAGTAATACTGCAAAATGTGGCAAAGCAATTAACTTTTGGTCCTGAATACAAAGTGTTATGTTTGGGGCAAATACAATACAAAACATGACTCCATATTTTCAAGCATAGTGGAGGCTACATCATGTTATGGGTATGCTTGTAATCGTTAAGGACTGGGGAGTTTTTCAGGATAAAAAATAAACGGAATGGCGCTAAGCACAGTCAAAATCCTAGAGGAAAAACTGGTTCATTCTGCTTTCCACCAGACACTGGGAGATTAGTTCACCTTTCAGCAGGACAATAACCTAAAACACCAGGCCAAATCTACACTGGAGTTGCTTACCAAGAAGATAGTGGCTGTTCCTGAGTGGCCGGGTTACAATTGTGCTGAGACTCCAATTTTTTACTTAAAATGTATGCCAAACACAAACCATTGATTTTAAAAGATTAACAAACCATACAACTCTATGCACAATGACTACTTAAAAAAATTTACACTGACAATTTGACAAAAACACTTTTACTGGAAGAACTGTGCAGATGCAAGGTTTGGTAAAAGAAATCGGTAAAATCTCCCTCAGTTTATGTGACCAAAAACTCAGTTAAATATCTTCTCCGAATTAAGATTCAAAGATGTCTGCAGAAAGAATGGGGTGTCAGCTATGACATGACACCTTGAGTTAGAAAAAAATCTATTTTGGTTCTTGAACTATAGTAAGTGAAGTGGATTTACACCCGGTAACAGAATTTCAACATGGGTCCCTGATCTGTACTACACAGAAATGCATAATTATGGATATGAATGTCATTCTCTTCATGGGCTCCCGAGTGGCACAGCAGTCTAAGGCACTGCATCTCAGTGCTTGAGGCGTCACTACAGACCCCCTGGTTCGATTCCAGGCTGTATCACAACCGGCCGTGATTGGGAGTCCCATAGGGCGGCGCACAATTGGCCCAGCGTCGTTCGGGTTTGGCCGGTGTAGGCCGTCATTGTAAATAAGAATTTGTTCTTAACTGACTTGCCTAGTTAAATAAAGGTAAAAAAAAAAAAAAAAATGGTGATGTATCCTAAATAGGTACACAATGGTAGAAAAATGCAATATATTTTTTTATTTTTTTATTTATTTCACCTTTATTTAACCAGGTAAGCCAGTTGAGAATAAGTTCTCATTTACTACTGCGACCTGGCCAAGATAAAGCAAAGCAGTGCGATAAAAACAACAACACAGAGTTACATATGGGGTAAAACAAAACATAAAGTCAAAAATAGAAAATATATATACAGTGTGTGCAAATGTAGCAAGTTATGGAGGTAAGGCAATAAATAGGCCATAGTGCAAAATAATTACAATTAGGATTAACACTGGAATGGTAGATGTGCAAGAGATGATGTGCAAATAGAGATACTGGGGTGCAAATGAGCAAAATAAATAACAATATGGGGATGAGGTAGTTGGGTGGGCTAATTTCAGATGGGTTGTGTACAGGTGCAGTGATCGGTAAGGTGCTCTGACAACTGATGCTTAAAGTTAGTGAGGGAGATACAGTGGGGAAAAAAGTATTTAGTCAGCCACCAATTGTGCAAGTTCTCCCACTTAAAAAGATGAAAGAGGCCTGTAATTTTCATCATAGGTACACGTCAACTATGACAGACAAATTTAGAAAAATAATCCAGAAAATCACATTGTAGGATTTTTAATGAATTTATTTGCAAATTATGGTGGAAAATAAGTATTTGGTCACCTACAAACAAGCAAGATTTCTGGCTCTCACAGACCTGTAACTTCTTCTTTAAGAGGCTCCTCTGACCTCCACTCGTTACCTGTATTAATGGCACCTGTTTGAACTTGTTATCAGTATAAAAGACACCTGTCCACAACCTCAAACAGTCACACTCCAAACTCCACTATGGCCAAGACCAAAGAGCTGTCAAAGGACACCGGAAACAAAATTGTAGACCTGCACCAGGCTGGGAATACTGAATCTGCAATAGGTAAGCAGCTTGGTTTGAAGAAATCAACTGTGGGAGCAATTATTAGGAAATGGAAGACATACAAGACCACTGATAATCTCCCTCGATCTGGGGCTCCACGCAAGATCTCACCCCGTGGGGTCAAAATGATCACAAGAACGTTGAGCAAAAATCCCAGAACCACACGGGGGGACCTAGTGAATGACCTGCAGAGAGCTGGGACCAAAGTAACAAAGCCTACCATCAGTAACACACTACGCCGCCAGGGACTCAAATCCTGCAGTGCCAGACGTGTCCCCTTGCTTAAGCCAGTACATGTCCAGGCCCGTCTGAAGTTTGCTAGAGTGCATTTGGATGATCCAGAAGAGGATTGGGAGAATGTCATATGGTCAGATGAAACCAAAATATAACTTTTTGGTAAAAACTCAACTCGTCGTGTTTGGAGGACAAAGAATGCTGAGTTGCATCCAAAGAACACCATACCTACTGTGAAGCATGGGGGTGGAAACATCATGCTTTGGGGCTGTTTTTCTGCAAAGGGACCAGGACGACTGATCCGTGTAAAGGAAAGAATGAATGGGGCCATGGATCGTGAGATTTTGAGTGAAAACCTCCTTCCATCAGCAAGGGCATTGAAGATGAAACGTGGCTGGGTCTTTCAGCATGACAATGATCCCAAACACACCGCCCGGGCAATGAAGGAGTGGCTTCGTAAGAAGCATTTCAAGGTCCTGGAGTGGCCTAGCCAGTCTCCAGATCTCAACCCCATAGAACATCTTTGGAGGGAGTTGAAAGTCCGTGTTGCCCAGCGACAGCCCCAAAACATCACTGCTCTAGAGGAGATCTGCATGGAGGAATGGGCCAAAATACCAGCAACAGTGTGTGAAAACCTTGTGAAGACTTACAGAAAACGTTTGACCTGTGTCATTGCCAACAAAGGGTATATAACAAAGTATTGAGAAACTTTTGTTATTGACCAAATACTTATTTTCCACCATAATTTGCAAATAAATTCATTAAAAATCCTACAATGTGATTTTCTGGATTTTTTTTCTTCTCATTTTGTCTGTCATAGTTGACGTGTACCTATGATGAAAATTACAGGCCTCTCTCATCTTTTTAAGTGGGAGAACTTGCACAATTGGTGGCTGACTAAATACTTTTTTCTCCCACTGTAAGTGTCTCCAGCTTCAGAGATTTTTGCAGTTCGTTCCAGTCATTGGCAGCAGAGAACTGGAAGGAATGGTGGCCAAAGGAGGTGTTGGCTTTGGGGATGACCAGTGAGATATACCTCCTGGAGCGCATACTACGGGTGAGTGTTGCTATGGTGACCAATGAGCTAAGATAAGGCAGGGATTTGCCTAGCAGTGATTTATAGATGACCTGGAGCCAGTGGGTGGCGACGAATATGTAGTGAGGACCAGCCAACGAGCGTACAGGTCACAGTGGTGGGTAGTATATGGGGCTTTGGTGACAAAACGGATGGCACTGTGATAGACTACATCCAATTTGCTGAGTAGAGTGTTGGAGGCTATTTTGTAAATGACATCGCCGAAGTCAAGGACCGGTAGGATAGTCCGGTTTACGAGGGCATGTTTGGCAGCATGAGTGAAGGAGGCTTTGTTGCGAAATAGGGAGCCGATTCTGGATTTAACTTTGGATTGGAGATGCTTAATGTGAGTCTGGAAGGAGAGTTTACAGTCTAACCAGACACCTAGGTATTTGTAGTTGTCCACATACTCTAGGTCAGACCCGTCGAGAGTAGTGATTCTAGTCGGGTGGGCGGGTACCAGCAGCGTTCGATTGAAGAGCATGCATTTAGTTTTACTTGTGTTTAAGAGCAGTTGGAGGCTACGGAAGGAGTGTTGTATGGCATTGAAGCTCGTTTGGAGGTTTGTTAACACAGTGTCCAATGAAGGGCCAGATGTATACAAAATGGTGTCGTCTGCGTAGAGGTGGATCTGAGAATCACCAGCAGCAAGAGCGACATCATTGATATACGCAGAGAAAAGAGTCGGCTCAAGAATTGAACCCTGTGGCACCCCCATAGAGACTGCCAGAGGTCCAGTATCCTTTGCATATTTGGGTATTATTCTACACACTGGCTATTATTTTAATGTGCTCTGCCTCCAAGCAAGACCAAATGTGGTTGGACCGGACTAAATCTGAACCAATCATAGACATCAAAGTACAGTACAGTAGAGTATAGTTCAGTAGAGTAAAGTACAGTACATTATAGTGTACTCAAGCTCTACTGTGTACTGTACTTCACTCTTCTCCACTCTATTCTATGTTACTGTACAGTACAGGACTGTACTAAATTATAATGTACTTTTCTTAACTGTGCTCTACTGTACTGTACTTTGTTGTCCAAACTTGTGAAACCTAGACCTGACCGGAACAAATCTAAACCAATCATGGACGTCTAGATGTTTGGGCCAAATGAAGGCCGGTCCAGATATCTCTGGACGCTGAAATCAAGACAAGGGCGGACTGACCAAATTTCAACTACTTTTTGACGTCTATGGATGTCCGATGTGGGTCGTTGCTCAGTGGGTGAGGATGCTGGTTACAGTAAATGGAAAGAGAGGGGGCTCATGGGTAGGTGTCAATAAGAGCTGGGAGAGGTGACGTTAATTGAAGAGAGAGAGAGAGCAAGAGCGCGAGAGAGAGTGGGAGGGGTTGTCCAGACTTTTCACGCTCTTGCTTTGACCACCAGAGAACAAAAAGGGAAAGAAAACCGTTATCAGTTGAACATAACATTATGCCAGTGGAAGGGAGGACAGTAGCAGGTGACCCAACTGTGGTTTGTGAATACTGTGAATTCCCATTGTAGCCAATTCAGTTGCGGAAATTCCGTTTTGGTAACAGAATTTCACGTTTGAATAACTTAATAATTCATAAAGAAAATTGATATCAGTAAAAACACTATAACTAATTGATAGGTCTACCATTACTTGTTACTTCTGTGAACTTTCATTATCCTCCCTCCTGATGAGGGAGAGATGTAAAAATATCTTAGATATGTGGGTTTTTAGTAACGGAATTTCAAGACACAAGGCAATGTTTCTTAAACTTACAAAAGGCAGACATTTTTTTTTGTTAATTAGTTGGCAGCGGTCTTTACTTCAATATTATTGTGTTTTGATGCATTTCTAATACCTTTTAAGACTTTTTCTGGTAGATGTTTTCTAAGACCCCCTTTCCATCTGTTTGACAAGAAATCAAAGCCTTTGCTTATTCCTAATTAGAAGATGGAAAATGTTAGAAAAATGTATATATGCCTTAATTTCTCAAATATAGACTCTTAGCTTTAATTTGACACTCAATTTGACGTGCTCCTATGAACTTCACGTTGGTGCTCATGGGTCCATGTACATGGAAATTACATGTTTTCTCTTCCCCTACCCAGAGTCTCCGTGAGTCATCTATATGGGCCATCTTCTCTCGAAAAATGGTTACCGCCTGAACAAGAGGACACGCAAGCTGCACCACAGGAAGAAGAAGAAGAGGAACTGCTTCCTGCAGGGGCCGTGCATGCTCTGCTTCATCGTCCACGGCAACAGCGGGGGCCTCGACGACGACAGTGACCAGTTAGAGACCAGCATCAACAGCGGAGGCGGAATCGGAAGACGTTGTCATAGGAACGCCAGTGGTACCGGAAGCGGAGGAATCGGAAGTGCCTCAAAGCTCGCTGGGCGGTACGCTGCTCTCACTTCCCCTGAGGACTGTGCCAAGTTCCTGCTGTCGCCAAGGGAACTAGCCATCTGGGAGGGTCAAGGGAAGAGTCTACTGTCGGCCGTGCCGGCTAAGCTGATCCCGCCGCCAGCGCTGTTCCGGAGTGCAGGGATTCCAGTGCCTGTAGCTGTAGCTGTGGCCGTTTCTGTGCCTGGTAGTGCCAGTGACTACGCCGAGATGGTGAGAAACTAGAAAGGGTTTATTTCTAGTGCTGCTGAATTAGTTAATTGTTTAATTAATGTAATTGGTTGGCCAGAGAGTCCACTCACTTGATGTCCCAGGTTTGAATCAGTCACTGATTTAGAAGGGACACTATCTGAACAGTTTGCTCCCATACCGTATAGTTCCTGGTGTTTCTTCTGATGTCATCTCTGTCTAATCCCTTTTGATGTGGTTCTCTGTGATCTGTGTCTGATCCTTGTTTCTTTCCTCCCAGGTGTGTAAGAGGAAGTGTGCGGCGGTGCAGAGGTGCACCCCCTGTAAGCAGCCGCGATGTGCCTTCCCTGTCCCTGAGGGAGGTGTGGAGGATGGAGGAGGAGGAGGAAGTGGGGATGCCTCCTCTAACTCCGGGACTGGCCACTGCCACCTCTGCCCCCTGCCCTCCTCCTCTTCCTCCTCATCCTCCTCCTCGTCTGTCGAGGGCTGCTGTGGGATGGCTCTCCATGGCGATTCAATGCCCCAGAGTTCTGACTCTTCCCCCTGCTGTCCGCATCACCATGACGACTGCCAGGGGAGGGGCTGTGACGTGATTGACACATCCAGCATCAACCGCCTCCCCTCCTCCATCCTGCTTAAGGTCAGAGGTCACCATTAGAGTGCAGTTCATTTTGGAGGCCTGATTGGATGCTTTCAAAGCCTTTTATTCTAACTGAAACTAACTGAAATGGGCTGGAGGTAGCCTGGGTACCAGTCTGTTTAGCTAACATTCCACTGCTTGTACTCTGTGTCACTGCCAAACAACAGGCTGGATGTGAGTGGATGCACAACCTGTGTTTTCTGTTCCTCTCAGGTGTTCTCCCACCTGTCGGTGAAAGAGCGCTGTCTGTGTGCCTCGCTGGTCTGTAAGTACTGGAGGGACCTCTGCTTAGACTTCCAGTTCTGGAAGCAAATCGACCTCAGTGGCCTACAACAAGTGAGTACAACATTTGAGACATTTTATAAAGAAACATTTTATTTTAGAAAATGTTTTTAAACCCCTTTTCTATACTGAACAAAAATATAAACGCAACAATTTCAAAGATTTTACTGAGTTACAGTTCTGGCCTGGGAGGGCGTAGGCCTACCCACTTGGGAGCCAGGCCCAGCCAATCAGAATTAGTTTTTCCCCACAAAAGGGCTTTATTACAGACAGAATAAAGTGGTCACAGAGGTCAGACGTTTCTTGTACAGTGAGGGAAAAAAGTATTTGATCCCCTGCTGATTTTGTACGTTTTCCCACTGACAAAGACATGATCAGTCTATAATTTTAATGGTAGGTTTATTTGAACAGTGAGAGACAGAATAACAACAGAAAAATCCAGAAAAACGCATGTCAAAAATGTTATAAACTGATTTGCATTTTAATGAGGGAAATAAGTATTTGACCCCTCTGCAAAACATGACTTAGTACTTGGTGGCAAAACCCTTGTTGGCAATCACAGAGGTCAGACGTTTCTTGTAGTTGGCCACCAGGTTTGCACACATCTCAGGAGGGATTTTGTTCCACTCCTCTTTGCAGATCTTCTCCAAGTCATTAAGGTTTCGAGGCTGACGTTTGGCAACTCGAACCTTCAGCTCCCTCCACAGATTTTCTATGGGATTAAGGCCTGGAGACTGGCTAGGCCACTCCAGGACCTTAATGTGCTTCTTCTTGAGCCAGTCCTTTGTTGCCTTGGCCGTGTGTTTTGGGTCATTGTCATGCTGGAATACCCATCCACGACCCATTTTCAATGCCCTGGCTGAGGGAAGGAGGTTCTCACCCAAGATTTGACGGTACATGGCCCCGTCCATCGTCCTTTTGATGCAGTGAAGTTGTCCTGTCCCCTTAGCAGAAAAACACCCCCAAAGCATAATGTTTCCACCTCCATGTTTGACGGTGGGGATGGTGTTCTTGGGGTCATAGGCAGCATTCCTCCTCCTCCAAACATGGCGTGTTGAGTTGATGCCAAAGAGCTCCATTTTGGTCTCATCTGACCACAACACTTGTCACCCAGTTCTCCTCTGAACCATTCAGATGTTCATTGGCAAACTTCAGCCAGGCCTGTATATGTGCTTTCTTGAGCAGGGGGACCTTGCGGGCGCTGCAGGATTTCAGTCCTTCACGGCGTAGTGTGTTACCAATTGTTTTCTTGGTGACTATGGTCCCAGCTGCCTTGAGATCATTGACAAGATCCTCCTGTGTAGTTCTGGGCTGATTCCTCACCATTCTCATGATCATTGCAACTCCACGAGGTGAGATCTTGCATGGAGCCCCAGGCTGAGGGAGATTGACAGTTATTTTGTGTTTCTTCAATTTGCGAATAATCGCACCAACTGTTGTCACCTTCTCACCAAGCTGCTTGGCGATGGTCTTGTAGCCCATTCCAGCCTTGTGTAGGTCTTCAATCTTGTCCCTGACATCCTTGGAGAGCTCTTTGGTCTTGGCCATGGTGGAGAGTTTGGAATCTGATTAATTGATTGCTTCTGTGGACAGGTGTCTTTTTTATACAGGTAACAAACTGAGATTAGGAGTACTCCCTTTAAGAGTGTGCTGCTAATCTCAGCTCGTTACCTGTATAAAAGACACCTGGGAGCCAGAAATATTTCTGATTGAGAGGGGGTCAAATACTTATTTCCCTCATTAAAATGCAAATCAATTGATAACATTTTTGACATGCGTTTTTCTGGATTTTGTTGTTGTTATTCTGTCTCTCACTGTTCAAATAAACCTACCATTTAAAATTATAGACTGATCATGTCTTTGTCAGTGGGCAAACGTACAAAATCAGCAGGGGATCAAATACTTAATTCCCTCATTGCAAGTTTTTTTGTGCGTATGGAACATTTCTGGGGTCTTTTATTTCAGCTCATGAAACATGGGACCGACACTTTACATGTTGTGTGTATATTTCTGTTCAGTGTACCTTTGTAATGTTCATGTATTTTATAAAGCGTCTATTATGTGACTATATGTTGATCACAGATGACTTTCTCATCAAACTTTACCTTGAGCCCTAACCTCTCTCTCTTCTCCCTGTTTCTACTCATTCACTCACTCACTCACTCACTCACTCACTCACTCACTCACTCACTCACTCACTCACTCACTCACTCACTCACTCACTCACTCACCCACACCCCCCTCAGGTAAATGATGACCTCCTGGTGAAGATAGCGTCTCGGAGGCAGAATGTGATGGAGTTGAACATCTCAGACTGTCGTGGCGTGCAGGACCACGGTGTGTGTTCCCTGGCGTCCCACTGCCCAGGACTTCAGAGGTACACAGCCTACCGCTGTAAACAGCTGAGTGACCTGTCTCTCAGCGCCCTGGCCTTACACTGCCCTCTGCTGGCCAAGGTCCATGTTGGCAACCAGGACAAACTGACGGATGACGCTCTCAAAAAGGTGCTCCATCTCTCTCTCTCTCTCGCTCTCTCTCTCTCTCTCTGCACCCCTTTTCTTTCTTTCTTTCTTTCTTTCTTTCTTTCTTTCTTTCTTTCTTTCTTTCTTTCTTTCTTTCTTTCTTTCTTTTTCTTTCTTTCTTTTGCTCTACTTAATCCATCAGTCGATCAATCTGATGCAGTAATAACACTTCTTACAATGCATTTATAACAAGTTTATCAGGCTTAACCCCTTCTCTCTCTCCCTCTCCTCCCCCTCCCATTCTTGTATCCCTAGTTGGGAGAACACAGTTCAGAGTTGAAGGATATCCACCTGGGCCAGTGCTACAGTATTACTGATGAGGGGATGGTGGCCCTGTCCAAGGGATGTCCCAAGCTGCAGAGAATCTACATGCAGGAGAACAAACTGGTAAGTACCCTACCCAGTTCTTAGGCTACAACACAATGTTCCCATTGATACCAGTTGGACTGCAAAACAAGGCAGGGGGCCCACGCGGTCTCTGTAGGGTTAGGGGAAACGCTGCCTACATGTTTGACTTTAAATCAATGAAAGGGGAAGGGAAAAAGTGTGGATCACACTCTGTCTGTCTGGGGTCCTGGAGGCTACTAGAGAACCGTTGAGTGGTGTCTCTGTGTCGTGTAAGGTGAAACAGCCTCGGTGGGGATGTTTGTGTGTTTACTGTGTGTGTGTGTTGGATAGAGGGGTGGTGGTGGGTTGTGGGGTATTTTTGCTGTTGGCATGGAAGGATCGTGATACATCTGTTTGAAATGAAAGACAAATCCCAAACTCAAAGTAAAATCTGTTGAAAACATGCGAAGAGGCACAGGCTAAGGGAGAGGACTGCATGCATTTTTGGTAGTGTGGATTACATTTCTCTAAGTATGCATGTTGTGTGTCTGCTGGTGGTTTTGGGGTGTTTTGGGGACAGTCCCTGTTCAAGTGCAGTGTGATTATGTGCCAAGTCCTCCGACACAGGGGATCTGCACTTACACAACAAAATAAAGATGGATATTCAACACCCCTTGGTTTGTGTGCCAGCTGGAAATGTAGGCTATATTATTAATACTCTCTGAACACACAGACAATGGCTGGGGTCCCTGAGCTAGCTTCATGTGGAGGATTCCCATATTTCCAGCTCATTCTCTCCTGATTCCAGGAATCTTCCAACCAGGATTTCTGTAAAAACCTGAGAATTTAGGAAAAATTACCTGAATTTTGCATCCCTGGTTGTGGTGGAGTCTTGTTCATTTTAGTTGGGTGTCTGTGTTTTACCAGTCACTGGTTCTGACAGAGGCCTGCTAACACTAGAACCCTGTAGTGAGACCTCTCGTTGGGTGTTGTAATGAAAACACCATTACTCTGCAGATATGGGCTTGTGTTCATGTTCTGCAAGGGTTTTGGACATCCTGACAACCTGAATCTCTGGCTTTGAAAGCCTGTTGGATATTTGAAGTGTGTCTTCTCCTTTCCCAATGTAGGTTATCATAAAGCCTCAGTGACTAGAATACTTGATGACTTTCTATTGTATAAGGGCAATTCCATGGTAACGGAATTATGCTGAGACTCCGATTTGTTCACTTTAAAATGTATACCAAACAAAAACCATTGATTTCAAAGTTTACAAAAACCATAGAACTTTATGCACAACAGTGGAGGCTGCTGAGGGGAGGATGGCTCATAGTAATGGCTGGAATGGAGTCAATGGAATGGTACCAACCAATGGAAACCACATGTTTGATGCCATTCCATTGTCTCTATTCCAGCCATTATTATGAGCCATCCTCCCCTCAACAGCCTCCACTGATGCACAAGTACTACTTCGAACAATTTCCACTGAAAAGTTTACAAAAACACATTTATAGGAAGAACTGTGCAGATAAAACGTTTGGTAACAGAATAAAACTAAGGGAGATTTTACATTTTTTTGTTTGTTTTTTTGTTACAGTGTAATTTGTTCAAAGTACTAATTGTGCGTAGAGTTGTATGGTTTGTTAAACTTTGAAATCAATGGATTTTGTTTGGCATACATTTTAAAGGGAGAAATCGGAGTCTCAGAGTAATTCCACTAGCAGGGAATTGCCCATAACCTACCCAGTTTAACATGTCTCCTCCCCAGTGATGCACTTATTTCCCAGTGTGATTGTTGAACGATCCCTGACAGTGCCTTCCCTTCACCGCAAGAGGTCAGTGGTACTTCACTATTGAACGCGACCAGTCAAGGGGCCATAGCTAGATAAAGTGTATTCTTTTAATAAAGCCACAGAGGCTGGCTAGAATCCTCTACATTTGGCACTTCCATTAAAAGCTTCTCTGGATATGTATGCATTGAGATGTGCAAAGGAGTTCTGTTTCCAAGTGTATTGAATAGCATTTCATCATAAACCGCCCTCTTTATTCTCTAGCCTAATGGGTTGGTCTTCCTTTCCTTAAAATATTTCTCTCTCATAGTGATTACGCTCTTGATGAATTAGTCCACTTAAAGTTATTAACAATGGCTCAGTCTGTTAAAATCCCATTCATCACCTTAATAGTTATGAAAATAGCGATTATAGCGAGGTGAGAGATTCATTTTGGTACTAATAATATTTCAACGCCGCAGTATCAATTTCAGACAGTCATTTTTCAGATGTGAGATTGCGTTTTCTGGCTTGCCTCTCATATTATGCCGGCGAGAAATGGGTTGTGAATATTTTTAGGAGTTGTTATGTCTAGCCACTCTTATTGCTTTGGCCTGATATTGTCATTAAGTTAGCCTGGTATTAAGAAGGACAGGAAAACTTCCCTCCCTCTCTCCTCTCCATAGAGGATTCTCGTTCCCTTACAGCATTGCCTACTAGAGTTTCTCTCCCCAACTGTTTTGATTAAACAAATGTAATAGCTCGATAAGTAATTCCCTTTTCTAATTGGACATTTTGGACCAGATTAAAGAATTGATTTAATCTCCGTAAGAAGGAAAGTGTGCAAAATAGTGAATTGTTTACAGTTGTCTTGTAGGCTTAAGGAGAAATCTCTATATCTCTGGATCCAAATTTGGCTGCTGGTTTTCATTTTTCTCCTGTGTTTTAGCTCGAAAACATAAATTAACTATTTTACATTTACAGACTTTTAGTGTGAAACTGAGGATAAACATATTTTGACTAAGTCCTATGTGCCCTACATAATCTAGCCTATGAAATCTTTTGATGGGAGGATTTAGTTGACTATGAGTAAAATCAAGTCTTGTTTCCTAGTGAAATATTTCTTAGCTGCAATGTGTGCTGTGTAGGCCTCTCTCTGAGGATAGGACATGTTCTGTTGCTCTTTATTTAGTTTAGAAAACATTGTCAGTTGTTCTCTCTCTTATCCCTGTTCTTGGAGAAAAGGGGGATGGAAAAAAAAGAGACAGAGAGGCAGAACGGAGAAGCAGAGCGAGAGATGGTGAGCTATCTAGCCAGCTAGATAGAGGAGCGAGGTGATCTAAGAGGGAGCAAGGCTCGGACTACCCTCCTCTCTGACTCTCTCTCCCCTCTCCTCTCTCTCTCTCCCCTCCCCTCTCTCTCCCTCTCTCTCTCACTCACTCACTCACTCACTCACTCACTCACTCACTCACTCACTCACTCACTCACTCACTCACTCACTCATTCACTCACTCAGGGAGATATGTGTACAGTTCCCTCTGTCCTGTGGGGTTAGGAGCCAGGCACCGGCTGGTCTACTCTGACATCTGAAGCCTTTACAAAACATCTTTATCACAACGGCCCCAATTCACTCACTGACAGATCCTCTCTCTCACTCGCATGCCTCATCTTTCCCATTGCCTCCCTTTCTCCATCTCTTTTCTTGCCCCCCCCCCTCTCCTTTCCCTAATGTAATGTAACAGGATCCTGTCTCTTTCAATCAATGAGGAATGGAGATGATCCCTCGCTCTGGTGTTCTGTACTTTTCCTTTCCTCTTCCTCCTTCCCTCTTTCTGGCCTTCTTCTAATTGAATAATTAAAAAGCCAGAGTATGTTTCTGTGCTCTCTCTCTCTCTCTCTCTCTCTCTCTCTCTCTCTCTCTCTCTCTCTCTCTCTCTCTCTCTCTCTCTCTCTCGACTCTGCTGGTGGTTTCTCTCTTATTTGGCTCGAGGCTTCCTGCTCTCATCAACATACAGTATCTAGTCTAGAAGTCTTTAACAGTTTAGAAAAAAGTGAATTGTTTCATGAAGGGAGTCTGACACACTAAGCTGATAAAGTAGACCGTTCTCTTTCTACCTAGCCTATTCTAAAACACTACATTGGGTGTTCTTAGGAGGACTATTGTTCAGTGTGTAGAAGTTGAGGGATAATGACTTCTGTGGCCTGTGTGACTGGCTAGAGTCACTGCAGTCTCTCACCTTCCGTTTCCCTGTCAGATGTCAACTTGTTAGTCTGGGCTGGCTGGCTGTGGGTGTTGTCCAATGGAGTCTGTACAGACACAGAGAATGACTATTTTTGGGCTCCAGTGATTTCTCAGGTGAAACTTTGATGGTTGGGTCTCTATCTCTCTCTCGCTCTCTTTCCCACACCCACTCTCTCTCCTTTTCTCTCCCCATCTCCCTGACAGCTCTCTGTGTCCACACAGTACTTAGGTGAACTGTCTGATTTGAACTGCTGAACGTTTCTCTCTGCTAGGCTGCGTGTGGGAGGTGGAATAGAGAGAACTTTCCAGAAAAAGACTGGAAAAGTGTTTTTTATAATGGGATCACCTCACCTGTATAAGTATATTAAAGAATACAATGGTGTGTGTTTGTACTCAATTTGACCTTGTTCATATTTACAGAATCTATGCCATTGTAGGGATTGTTTGTCTGTTTTCAGACGTTGTTTTGAGCTCTTGTTGTTTTACCATTAATATTCTGTTCTCTCTCTGTCTGCCTCAGAGGACAAAGACTTATATAATACCAAACTCCTCCTCTTCTCATCATATGAATGTGTCCTAGGCTAGGAGAGAGACGGCCCCGGATGTTGAGCTGAGAGTTTTGTCAATACAGACAAAGTATTGTGTAGGCTTATCTGCTCTACAGATCACACCCATTCTTCTACATGAATAATGATATTCCATTAGTTCCTTACAATTACACAGGAGTATCGCAATTTTAGAAATGTTTTGCCACATTTTTCTCCCTCATCTTTTGCTTCTTCTCCCGCCTCTCCTTTCCTAGTGGAATCAAAGCACGTTTCTTTAATTCTCCAGCGAGGTGATGACACGGTAACACGGTAACCGTGGTTTTTGCCAAACAAAAATCACTAATTTGCAAAGTTAAACAAACCATACAACTCTATGCACAAGGAATACTTTTAACAGTTTCCACAGAAAATATTACAAAAACACATTTATTCAAAGAACAGTGCAGATGTAGTTTGGTAACAGATTGACGGTAAAATCTCCCTCATTTTATGTGAAAAAAAAAAACTCTGTTAAATATATACTCC